CCAAGAAATAAAGATAAAATAAAACAATAAGCAAATTGAACAAAGAAAGAGGAAACTTGATGAATTTGAGATATTGAAATGTTCAGCTACACAGTCTCTATTGTAGCTAGGCTTCTTTGTTTTTCTAAATGATTGTATTCTTAATCTTGATTATATATTGTTTCTTTAGATAATTCTCAAATTTGTGGCATCCTTCACTATAATATAAGCATAGGCCTTATTCAAATTAATGATTCTTCTCCTTTACTCTAAAAAGCTTAAATTTTATTGTATTAATTTAGATATCCTCAACTTTGGAGTGTAGAAGTAATATATTCGTTGAAGCAATAAAATACAAATTTTTAATGTATTACTTTGTCAAAGCCCTTAAAAATTAATCTTGACAATATAAAAATAATCAATTATCACATTTCACAACTTCACTAATAGCTTTATTAAATATTTGAAGATTAAGTAATGATAACAATAGGTCTTTGACATCATACTTTAGTCCTCAATAAAATTAGTTCATAAAAGCTTTTCATCCCAATTAATGTCACAAGTCAATTACTTAATCCTAGAGTATGATCCTTCATAGAATGAGGAAATATTTATTGTTGCTCATCAAGCCTTGTCATATTTTTCAAATGCCTGCGCAAATGCTTCTAAGAAAGCTTCAAAGTTGCTCAAGATTAGAGATCTCTTCTCATATAAAGTAGTAAATTAAGATAAAGCTTATCTTATGAGCAAGATTTTAACTAAATCAACTTATGATTCTTTTATTGGATAGTGCTCAAGTTGTAGAAAAATTATTAATCAAATTTGGTTAACAAACCTTCAAAATTTGGAATGTGTGTCATTAAAAATATTTATAAAATTAATCTAAAGCTCGCCACATTATTAAATAAGTAAATTATTTTGTGAAGGTATAGGTGCTATTGTCTCCTTGGATGTAGAACCTTAAGAAAGCAATTACATCACACATTAAACTACTCCAAGTCTTATATTACCATGGAATCATGCCAAAAATCCTTCAATTTCAACAATTCTACAAGATAAAGCATTGAACTTTTTTATAATAACATCTAACTTTGACTCAAGAGATTAAATTATATAAATATCTTCACTTCTAGCCACTTAAAAAAAATAATAATAATAATAATAATAATAATTTTAAAACAATACCAATTTAAAAGGAGGTAATCCACAACTTTTAAAGAGCTTAGATGCCTTCAAGAAGAAGGATAATTTACTCTCTATCAAGAAGGATGAAGCTTTAGTATTAATAAGAAGAAAATATTGACAAATTGTCATAGATATATTATACAAAAGATCAAACAAGAAGTTGAACAAAAGAGTTTCAACAAGAAAGTAAGCAAAAACTTCATTAAATCAAATGAATATAAGATCAATACCAAAAAAGATGAACTAGAGCTCCAAGAGATATACTATTAAGATTGAAGATCCCCTCAACATAAACTCCAATATATAGTAAGTATTACGAAGCTTTTCAAGAAGTTTCCAATATTGCTTGAAAACAAAGCAATTTTAGGAAGCTTTTCAGACAACTTCTTTAATTCTCCTAGAACTTTCTAAAATTATTTTGAATATTTTAGAAATCTTTTTAAAATATTTTATTGAAATATTTTTAAAATATTCTAAAATTTCTTATTGGAATATTTTAAGAATCTTTAAGGATCTAATAGAGTCTAATAGAATATCATAAGAATATTTCTAAAATCATTTTATTGAATATCTATAATAAATAAATTTAATAATATATTATTAAAAAAATTTCTTAAAAGCTTTTTAAAAATATAAAAAAATATATATACAAATTTAATATAAAAAATTTAAATAATCAAGATCTTGCTCTATTAAATATTATAGAAGTTAAATATTATATTTTTTAATCATCAATGAATATTTGGTATGTCAATAAAAATATTTTATCTAAATATAAGCATTTCTATAAAATAAATAAAAAATCGAATGACTTTTTTAAAAGATGTATAATTTGGTATTCTATTATAATAGAAGAAGATTTTACTAAATAGTGGAAAAAAATAAAAATAAAAATTTATCTTACAAAAAAGAACTATTATTATTTTAAAATAATTTTTATTCTAATTTTAAAAAATATATTGTTATAACTTAGACAAATTAATTTTAATATTTGGGTTGTATTATAAGCTTTCATATAGATAAGGCATATATTTGCCTCAAAAAATATTTATAAGCATCTAATAGAGACATATTGGCAATATAAAAAAAAATATTGCAAGTTCTTAAGGTTGAATAACTAGAAATTATTATACAAAGTTTACAAAAAAAATCAAAAAAATCAAAAAAATAAAAAAAAATCAAAATTATCATCAACCATCAAATTTTTCTAAAAAAGTGGTTCATAGAAAGATCTTGTATTATGCATTAAATTAAATATATAAATAATATCATGAGGAAAAATATTAATTAGCATTTATATCAATGGAGAAGAAACCATATATATGCAAATTCCAAAGAAGATTTTACCTTCTTTGTTGACAAATTATCAAAAAATGTATAGAATTTAGATAAAGATTGATAATAAATTATTTTGACAAGCATTGAAAACTTTAGTAGTTATAAGAAATATTTTTTTGCCTACTATAGTGAAAGCATAAGAAATATTAATATATCTTCTAAAACATCTAAAGCTATAGTTTAAAAATAAGCACACTACTAATAAATTAATATGATATCATCGACATAACCAATACTAATAATTATTTAAATAAGAATAATTGAATAGAAATAAATAAAAGTAGATAAATTTGGTAATATCTTGTGGATAAGCTTCTTAAAAGCTTTATATATAAGGATTTGATTTTATACAAGTTTGTAGGTAATTGATAGATTAAAAACTTGACCAACAAGTTAGCTACAATTTGCACATATTAATCATTTGTTGTATAAGTTGGTCATGTGGCATACATATAAGAAACTTGTTTTGCAAGTTAAACATATATCTTGCAAGTTGGACTTATATTGGAAGTTCTATAATAAATGACATATAGTTTTTAATTAGATATTACATATAGAGACAAGAGTGAGGTTTTTTTTACTTTTGTCAACTTCTTTCTTGATTTTATTCTAGATTCAAGAGTATATAGTTTTTTAGTCTTTGGCAATAACCATTTTAATTTCTTCTTGAATATATATACTTTCTTATTTCTTTTTAATTATCTTTCTTTGATATATGTCTCACTTGAAAAGAAAAATTTGATGGTTGATGATAATTTTGATTTTGATTTTTTTTTTTTTTTTTTTTTTGATAATTTTTTTGACAAAAATTATTTATTTACATTCTTTGAATTTTTGTCCTTGACAAGTGTAAATATATATTAATTACCTTGTATATATTGTGATGTAAAGAAATGTGAATAGATTAAAAAATAAATATATTAATTTAAAATTATTTTTATATTATTATAGGTGATAAATTGATTAAAATGTGATGGTCTTTTTTACTAATAGATTTGTATTTAAATTAGAATTTGTTAGATAATTTACAATTCATTTGCACTTCAATTACATGTTTGCTATTGTTATCTCAAAGCTCACACTATGTGAAGATACATATACAATATATAAATAGATGAAAGACAAATAATGAACAAGAAATGTTGTAAGGTGGCAAGGTTACAAAGTAGTGAGGCAATGCATCAATTAGTCAAGTAAAAAAGAAAAATTGTGATAATGTTAATAATTTTATCACGAGGGATACCAAAATATCTAAGAGAAGATATTCAAATGATAGTGCCTTTGTTTTGTTGTGTTAATGTAGTGTATTTATTAATATGATTAGATTTTTATTTTTTATTTTGCTACTAAAGAATTAAAAATCTAATAATTTTTATAAATTCAAACTGAAGGTAGAAGTTGGTAAAGTCTTGTTAATTTTATTAAAAAATTTTTTTTTTTTTTTAATTATTAAAAATTAATATTTTATAGATAGTTTAATTGTGATAAAAGAATGTTGTATAATTTTAAGATGTAATTTATTATTTGATGGAGGTATTTTTAATAATTAGTATGTTTTTTATATATCATTATTTATAATTTAAAACAAAGAATATAAAAATAGTTAACAATCTAATGTAATATCTAAAACATTACTGAAGTTTATGAAAAATGTACAACTTTAAAATACTTTTCTCTTTAAATTAAAAAGTAATGAAGGACTGAAACTAAAATTTCTAAAACAATCAAATCAATATTATATCATCAGTATTGGTCAACAATTATTTTTTATAAGTTATCAAAAATAAATGTATTTTGAATATAAAATATTGAAATAAAAGATATTTAAAAAACGTATTTATTTTTGGAATAATAGCAGTAATAAAAATATTCCAAATACTTATGTAGAATAAAACAGGCTCTGATTTTTCTCTTTTTGGAGAAATTATTTACAAAGTCAATTGAATATATTGTTTCTATATATTGGTATTTATTTTGCTATACTTTTTGAAGATAATAATGATTAAATTGAAACATTCTTATTTCGTTTCTAAAATCTAATGCTTAAATTTTTGCTCTTTAGAAATAATAAGAAAAAATATATCTACAGTATATAAACAATATATATGTTTATATACATATATGTATATAAATAAATAATAAGGATATCCGATGAAGTTCAGCACAGAAAGCTCAAAGCTTGGAATAGCAAATGGGTGATGGATGAATGAAAAACTGCTTCCTAATCGAAGGTCTTTAGTGGATGTCTCCTGTGGGGAACAACCGCCACTTTCCATAAATAAAATGCCACTTTCTAAGTTCACATACTGCACTTGTGCTTTTATCGGATGAATGAAACTATGTACCTTCATTCGTATTTTCCTCATTCATCCTCAGGTTCCACCCCCCTTCTAGCGGCCCCCAGCTCGCGGCGTCTAGCGGGACCCACCGACTCCGCGAGAGTGTCGATGCTAATTTGCGGTTCTTTCAATGTTTTTTTTTTCGCTTTCTAGATCTATTCCTTCGTGTAAGTGAATTTTTTCGGAATTGAGCACCTGCTTTTACTCTGAAAACAGGCTTACAGCGAAACGTTTGTCGGAGAATGCGGCAAGGTTAGTATGCATTGTTAGTATTCCATCTACATAGCAAGCCGCACGATATCGAGGACCAGAGCATCGTCAACCCAACGTCATAGATTCCAACTAATAATTGCTCTGGCGAACTCAAACTGAGAGCTCCGAAGGGTTTGAGTTGTTGTCATCAGAAAGCCGCAGGTGGGTTTTCAAGCCTCGCCAGGTGCGAGCGTAGGCTTTGACCGCAGAGGGATGTAGACGACTCGTTCTAGACCCGTTCTGTGTGCTTTCCAATTTGACGACGTACTTGTCGCTGTTGTCACTATGTAGCGTCACAACACGCCGACTCGTTTTCACCTGGAGGCTGAATGAGGACAGAGCGGAGCCTCTTGCGCTCTTTCCCGCTTTTGCTTTCTTGTTGGGGGCGAGGGAGGCGTGAAGAGTTTGATACGGAGTGTTAGGGGCACAACGAGAACTCGGCGCTGATTTGAGAAACACGGTAGAGGACAAGGTGTTAGTGGGACTGTTGGTGTGTTATTGCCTCATGTCTGCTTGAGTGCTTACTTCCGGTTGGAGTACTTGAAGGAGAATAGGTTTCATATTGTAGGAGAAGCTGCCAGGGATCGGGCAGGGAGCATTAGCAACATGGGGTTCATGTCCTTCATGGGTCGTGTCACTTTCTCGGCCATCTTCATCTTGGCTGCATGGCAGAAGTAAGTGTTGCCACTCGTTCACGCTCCACGACGAAATAGGGGCGATTTCGGTTCTCGTATGATGCTAGAGCATGTTGTGTCTTTTGGGCTTTGCCTAAGCGAGCTGGTTTGGCTTTGGGGTGTTTGATTTAAGTGAGTTCATATTAGGGCAAAAGTAATTTTTGCGTGTATCGTCTCCGTTCTAGGAGGATTGAGCTGGTTCAGCGGCTTTTTCTAATTTCATGAGCTGCGTGGGGACTTTGTTGCTATCTTTTTATTTTTTTTATTGTGTTCTCTCTTTCGATTCTTAAATTGGTTAATGTGTACTTAATGTGACGATGGTTGTGTTGTGCCATGCTTCAGAATCCAGGATTTTGGTCAGGATGGCGGTGAAGCATTGAGGGCTATGGACCCTAAGTTTTCGCTGTTTCTAAAAAACGTCAACGAGGCTCTCAACCTGCACTTGACTCTTCCAAGTGGCGTTGAGGTGCGCGTCAAAGCCGATCTAACCATATCCGCTGATGCATATGTTGTTGTGCCTTGTATTCGCTACTATCCATACATAGGCTCGTGACACAATGCATCCCTAGGTTTTTATATAGATATCATGAATTAGTACTACAATGCAGGTTGAGTATGTAATCCGTGTCCCCCCTCTCTTGAGTAGCGCCAGGGTTTCTGTTTAGTTAAGAGCGTTGGATCACTAGCGAGGTTTGAAAATTTGCGCTCTGATGTATCTCGAGTGGCACATTGTTTCAGACAAAGCATTTGTTAATGGTTGCCATTGCGTTGGAGGGTCTGGGCGGTATTCTTTTCACCTTGGGAAGCACTCTTGGTGCCTATTTACTGGTGAGAATTCACCCACTAATGGATGGATGCTTTGTGCAAAGATATTGTGATGTTCGTCCTACGTTCATTGAAGGGCTAAAAAGTCGGATAATGGTGAATGTGTTCATATGTTGATCTAGTTGTTTACTTTAGGGGTTACTGTCACCGATGAATTTCCAAGGGAGCTGTCCTGTAGGGTACCTAGCAGCGATCCGGATTTGGTATACTAGGGAGTTTTGAGCAATATGTTGCTTCTCTCCTGAATTTATGTGAGGACTCACCGTATGTTGCATGCCTCTGTGAATGAGATTCAAGCTATGTTTCCTACAATTTATGGACACTTGATTTAACTGGTGTACTTGTTCATGTCTTGCGGTTGTAGCTTATTTTCCTTGCAGCAGTGACACCGGTTATGCATGACTTTTACAACTATGATATAGCAACTGGTGATTACTTGCATCAATTCAACTCCTTCTTGAAGGTATGTTTTCTCTCCAGAACCGCCCTTTACCTGAACCTATAGTCCATGCACTAAATTTCTCTGTTAAGTGTCAATCAGTGAACAGTTCATCGCAAGAAGTTGCAGTTCGGTCCTTCTCGACAATCAAGAGCAAAACTAATGAAGCTCAGCTACATGTGATCAATAACAATGACCAGTTTAAGAGTGATTTCGACTGAACTAAGAGTTCTCTCGGTCGAAGAGGGCTTGGCGTTGTGTAATTAGCTGTGATTTGGTTTTGGGATATTTTTTTGTTTTTTATTGTTGGATTTTTCTTAAAGAAATATTTCCTCAGGACGCTTTTCTTTTTCTTCTTTTGCCGCAGAACCTATCTCTTTTCGGAGCTCTTTTGTTCTTTTTGGGGATGAAGAACTCTGCTCAGCGTGCAATGATGAGGAAGAAACAATCCTTGAAGGCCAAGTTTCAGTAGTCGTATTACACCTGACCGTCTAATGGGTCCCTTTTTCCTGAAAGATTGTAGTGTTGGAGAGAGCAAACGATAATTTAGCGTATAGGTGCTTACTGTTAGCATCCTATCCCGAGTTGATACAAGGATTTGTAAGTGGTTGCCTCTCCATAGGGAGGTGTATTGCCGTTGTTTAATCCATATTGTAGACATTTCACATGATTATGCAGCTCGAACTCTTCTTGAATCAGCTTGTCTATTTTTGTGGAAATCTCATTTTATAGGCCCTATGTGTTAGAGTTGCTATGACATTTTGGACTGCTTGATCATGATTCAGTCTTATTTAATCAGTCCTTAATGCTGTTGTGAGTGTATATGACTGGAGACAAAAGGAAACGAGGATATCCTTGGTACAATAATTTGACTCAAGGATGTGGAATGGAAAGAATGCTCAATAAAATCCATCCTTCCCAGACCTGACGATCTAATGGATGCTGAAATCTTACTAGACCCTCCACATTCTGGTCGTTGGAGGGGAAATGAGTATCTTCAAATGGTTTTAACTTATCTCCAATTTTCGAACCCCGTACCACATACATTCTCGATGATAGATACCACTGCTCTGAGACACAACTATCCAGCACTCTAAATACGAAGTTACGCCAGGCCAGGCTACTTTCCACAGAGACCAAGTGACAAAAATAACGAGGTAGTTCTTTGGGATGCCCACTTCGAAGAGAAGAAAATGAAAATGCTGACATCGGACGTTATGTATGTACATACATGCATGCAGGGGCTTGCGACTAAGGTTCAGCTGACAATGACGGCCAACCTCCCAAGCGAACAGGTGTGGCCACGATTTAAATGACTGGATCATGGGTGGTTGAGAGTGCAGAAAGCTGGGGTGAGCAGTGCCAGAGAGGTCAGCTACTTTTCAGACACTTCACAGCATCTTAACGCTCTGCTGCTCTTACCAATTTCCATCTCATCGATGCTGGCAAGAAAGTACTATGCAGCGCAAGATTTTGTCATTTGCCTAACATTGTGACGCGAAGAGGAGGATTTGCATGTGAGAATTAATGTATACACGTGTGACTAAAATTCAATGCCAATTGACACTTAAGCAGATAAACGTAATAGACATCTGCTCAGAATTGTGTGTACTATGCTAGGACCGGAGGATTATTAGCACTATCCCAGATGATTAAGTTCACTAGCTTGCTTTCAGCCTGCCAACATGGACTCCCACCCTAGCACGGCGCCATAGACAGGGACAGAACAACTCTTGTGCAAATCAACTTTCAAACTTAGAGAAGGGATGAAATAGTTGCATGAGTATTTCGAAGTTTGAGATTACATTGGGAAGAAACTGTGATTCTGATTGATGGAGTTGGTGTTGACAATTATATGCTGCATTGAGATTTATATCTGGCCTCAAGAAACAGAAAAGAAACAAAAAGCCTGTGCAACCTCATTACTTTCCGGAACTAGATTACCCTTGAAACTGCAACTGTTAAGGCCAAAAAAGAAGAGACGAGATTCATTTAACTGAAGGTTTTGAACCGAGCAATCAAAGTTGCTCCAACTCCATTCAAGATATTTTTGTCATTTTTCTGTATCTTAGACCACCGTACCATTACAGTGAGTACCTCCACAAATCTGCTAAAAAATGTAAATATGAATTTTGAGACCAGAAAATCAGATCAAGTCGTTTATATCAGATAAGAATGAAAGTTAGAATTTATGGATAAATAAATAGTTTATTAACCAGTGCTAATAGTGCTAATAATCTTCTGGTCCGCTGAATATATACATACTCGCTCAGTCGCCCCACACCATCTTTATTCTCATTATTATTCTGTATAAATGCCCTCGATTCAAAAGGACTAGCAACAGGTTGTGTCGAATCTACCAAACCACATTGAACTTGCTTGCACTCAAGGGTACTCAATCGATGCACGTAGAAAAAAACTAGTCCGTTAGTAGCTGTATCAAAAGAAATCCAGAAGAGAATGTTCAACCATTGCAAGTGGAAGCATCTTCTATGTCGTTGGCATAATGCATTTGTAGTGCTGCTTGGGATGAACTTCCATGGCGAGCTGAAGAGCAGTCTCAATCCCTAGGCCCTGACGGAAGAGGGCATCGTAAATAACACCGACAAAAGCAGCCAGATCCTTCTCTTCTGCCTCTTGCCGTTCCATTAGCTTCTCCTTCCTGTCAAAATCGCTATCTTCCCAGTCACTCTCAGGACTACTTTCATCTGAATCCCCTTCATCATCATCGTCAGCAATCACAAATCGACCTGCATCATTCACATCCTGAGTGTTGGGTCTCCCTGATCGTGTCAGGACATCACCTTCGGCAGCCTGCATATCCGTCTTTATTGTAGGAACAACTACTGCTTTTGCTCCTGCATCCAAGAAAGCCTTGACAAGTGTTTCTGGCGGCCCTTGCTTCCCAGTGCACAAGACCAGGCGGTCACGCCAGCCACCCACCTGTATACGGGAACCGCACGTCAGTCCGTATACATCAACGCTTTTATACCACTCGTTGTCCAGTTTTATGATACTCCAATTAATAGCCAATGCTACGTTACAAATTAACATGAAAGAGAAACAAAAAAAAATTCTCAGAATACAGAAATGGACAGAATTTTCACTATTATCTCACCATCCAGCGCACATCATCAGGAGTAAGGTGAACAGAAGCAAGTATTCTGCGGAATATGTAGGCGCCCACCTCTTGACCATCTGCCAAAACCTGCCAATTAAGTCTTAACTCGTTAGGGAAGTGCTCACAAAGATACTTGTAGGAACAAGTTGGCCTGGAATCAAAGCCTAGTCTATGAAAGCCAACAGTAAAATGTGATGAGCCATACAGAGCTGGTTATACAGGCTGATAAAGCTTGCCCTGAAGCATGATTATTATGCTCCCCTGTGTAAGTCGATGCACACTAATTCATTTGTGAATAGATAATTGAATGAAGCCAACCTGCGTATGACGCCCCATGAAACTATACAGGGTTCCACCGACGCTAAATCTTGGGAAGCCAGCGACAAGACCGGCTAGATTCGAGATTGGCGGCAGCTGCGCCCGCGTCTTCCCTGCTAATCCTAGCCGCAGGCTATTAATTACATTCTGCAGAAACTCTGTTGCGTTTTCTCCTGGTTCTGCTACCGCCAAAAGGTCACTCCGCCAACTACACAGGAAATTAATGTTTATATTTGGAAGGGTCAAATTCAAATATTGCGAATAATGCCACATACCTAAAAGATTGAATCTCTGAAAATTGACGCTTTACCATCATCATTATGCTACGTGAAGGTAATAGATACACAAAGAGCCCCACATGCACCAGAAATTTAAATCGAAATATATTATTGTGCCTAGACAAAAGAAGTTGCAATGTTGATGCATAAGTAATGTCCATAGTAAACAGTGCCAGAAAACGTGCTAGAAATGAGAAAAGTGCATTTGTAAAGTACAGATAAAAAGGATAAAAGAGGTCCACCTTAAAATCATGCCATTTTGATCACTGTGAAGTGCAAGATGAACAACACCCACTTGATTTGAGCCATGCAGCTTTTCTTGGAGAGCCATGACAGGTGGGGCAAGTTGCCGAGACCCTAAAGGTGGCGACGAAGGAAGCGAGTGAATCCCTTTCATTAAGTGAGGATCAAGACTTAGAGGAGGAATTCCATCATGATTTTTGAAGCTTTCTAGTCCAGGTTCTGAACTGTACAACCCAGGACTTCTCGAACCAAGTAAAGGTGATGCAAATGGTGAATTCGAGGTTCGTAGAGAAGTGATCGGTGGAGGTGGGTTTTCGTAACTGAACAACTCTAGTTTGAGACCATGACGTGCACAAAAAGCCTCCACGATCCGGGCGTGTCGCCACGGCTTGACAAGCTCCGGGCTGCGACACCCTTCAACAAGAAGAATTCGTCGTCTCCATCCAATGCCGGCGACTACCGATTCATCTCCTGCCAGCAACCGAGCGCAAAATTGTGAGGTTCAAGTCACACAAGAACAAGTATGCAGGTCAAGTATGTAGGAAGAATTGTGAAACGCCAGAATTTCAACAAAGATTGCTTGAGATATCCCTAGTCTAAGATAGAAGAGCCCAGAAAACTCACTGACGCAATCAAATTACAAACACACAACAAAACCATGATAGATTTCAGTGTTAATATTGAAAAGGTTACAAAGATTTACGAGTTGCATATTATATAAGAAGAAATTTCACAAAAGATTTCATGACATCCCGATGCATTCGAAATGATGCTTGTAGTAAGAAATGAAGGCAAAGTGGCATCTTGCAAGGTCAGAAGTATACTGTTACACTATGATACTATGACACTGAGTAGAAAAAGTAGCATAATTCTAAATTAAAAAGCAACAAACCTTTTCCAAGCTGTGAGCCTCTGGTACCCCCTCGTGTAGAGCGAGCTTTGTCATGCCAGAGACCGTCTGCTTGCGGTGGTGGTGAAAGTACATTACACGCAGCCTGGAATACGGCAGCATTTGCATCCACATATTCCTGAGTGGCGGTTTCCAACTTTGACCACACAGCAGCATCCGTCTCATCAAGCTCCATGTCACACCTATCGTCAACTGCACCAAACGAATGTTCAGAGCGACAGTCATGCGTAGATTGACATGCAGTGTTAATGAGCATATTCAGAAGAAAGCATGACATGTCACAGATATTCAAGGGCAAGGGTTGATTCACATTACTCTTTGAGCCAAAACAACCACTTACGTATAGTGCAAAGATCGTACACGATTTCACATGAAAAGCTTAGTACCTTCGAACCAAAAATAACTTTCTGCCTTAAATAATTAACCGTATATTACTGTAATGGTTATAGTAGACTGAATGAATTATATTTTCTTACTCGGATTGAAGCGAAAATACTGAAGGTTCGGAAGCATGGGCAGAAGAGTGTCTAAAGCTTCTTCCGCCCTCTCAACAGAGCAGGCACTCTCAATTAGTACCTGGCCAGTGTCCAGGTATCTCCATCCTCCTTTGCCGCGTGCCTACAGGTATTATTTAACGAATTTAAAATTGGTGAACTTGAAATAGCGTTGATCATATATCAAACTGAGGTTTGACGTCAATTAAAGGGAAAAGCTGGTTCAAGGATGACCAAAAAATGCACAACATTAGACATGGCCAATATAACGTGCCAACTTTGAACCTAAACTACAAAACTTAAATCGAATGACTTTGGATTACATAGTAGAGAGCCAATCACATTTTCACATGATAAATAATTAAGAAAAAGACATGATCTTCATGGACGTGAAAGCTTAGTAGAGTACACACCTTTGTAGGCACATTACCGCAGCCCACAGAGACGAGGCAATCAACTTGAGTGTCAGGCCATATAAGCTGCGCTTCACGTAAGGCAATAATGGTTGGATTATTGGCAACAATTGCACCATCTTGCCACCGATTGGACTCTGCCAGCACCCAAAATAATGAATTTTGAAATTTAGTAACCTCCGGTTCTAAAACCACAGCTAACCAAACCAATGCTCACACACGTATTGTACTGCTATCATGAACGGTAATATACCTTGTGAGAAGTCATCGAGGTAATAGGGAGCTGCAGATGATGCACGAATAGCTTCCCATATTCGATGCTTACAGCTACCTATGAAGGCACTTCTTCGTGGTCCTACTTGAGTGGTTAATGGGGTGGCGGTGGCCGGAGTGCCAGAAACTGAGGCTGCCGGCCCATCGTTTGTCGAGGGTGCTGTTTCAGGAGTTCCTGGAGGATACTACACCCACGATCACAATTATGAAGAGAACTCATTCTTTCATAGCAACTACGGGGCACATAAAGCTAGAACTGGAAGAAGACGAAGCAGATATTATCGTCCAAACTACAAATAATAAAAATATTAAAAAGGCAGTTAAAGAAGAGAAGATAATATTTGTGGCAAAATCCTATACCTGGTAATTGCGGAACACAAACGGCTGAGCAGGAGTCACACTAACAAGAGCAGAAACAACAAAGACTTTTGGAACGCCCTTCACTGCTGATTCAATTAGTAAATCCCCCTCCTCATCTGCGCACATCTCTTTCAGCAAATGCTCAAATTGCTCCGCATTGTGCTGTTTTGAAGCCCACAAGAATGCCCCATCAATGTCTCTCGACCACGTTTGAACGTTGAAGAGCCACAATGAACTCAACTTACGAAGCAGAAATCAGAAGGTTCAGTGAATGAGCAGACATACAACACGGTGAAGAAGTCTGCAGACATGTAAATAAAGAGTGAGACATTGATCGTAAACATTAATCTTCTTTAGCTACTGTACGAGTTACATATGAAGTTAGCTACCTTTGAGCCATGAACCACGACACGGAAATTCTGTGACGAGCTTTTGTAGACCTGGTCAATCTTTTCGCGCCATGTGGCTGCTTCATTATCTTTCGGAATTGGCTCGGCAAATACCAACTTACCTGCAGCCGCCATTAACAATGCTATCACAACTGATGTAGCTCAACAGGGTCTACACGACAAAAACCTAATCAAAGTAGAGGAAACTGAATAGGTTAGAAATTACAGCTACCATTAGTGTTTTGATCACAATTGTTAACCGGAGAACTATTACATAATATGATTAACAAGAATCAGTTGAAAGGAAAATGAAAAATGAAGAGAAGATAGAAAGCTCCCAAAAATAAATAAGTAAACAATTAAATCTACATTGTTTACCTAACGACTTGTAAATGTTTTCGCATTGATCAAGGTCCATACGCTTAATACCCAAAGCCACAGCAAGCATCCCACCAGTAGATGTGCCACAGATAAGATCAAAAATCTCATGAATTCTTCGACCTGTTCCCTTCTCAATATTCCTCAACATCTGTACAGTGGCCATTCCTCTCATGCCCCCACCGTCCATAGATAAAATCCGCAACCCTCGTTTGGATATGGGCCGGCCCCGCACTGCTCGCCGTAAGTACTCATTTTCACCTGCATGCAAACGGAACAACTTACACTTGACCCTCGTAAACGCTCAAAAGGATCCTAGGACGTTTAGAGAGCAATAATTAACAAAATTCGAACTAAACAGGATAACAATATACTCATTTCATAAAAGCTGCTATAAGCATGCAGGTAACGAAAAAGGAGCTGAACATCAACAGAAGGACACTTGTGCATTTTCAACAACTGTGCAAAAACAGAGAAGATCAATAAGAGTAAAAGCGATTTGATGCATGCTAAGAACAACGCTGGTTTGGTGCACACAATTGTGAGGAACATACCAAGGATGGCCAATGCTCGAGCGGCAGCTTTACATACTATTGCATTGGTGCCAGAAGCTTGACGTAATAGAAGGTCTCTCAAACTTTCAGATGCAACTAAGGTACGTCGGTTTTCCCAGCAAAATGCTAGGTTACCTACAGTCAGAAGAGCATGTCGCTGCACCTGCTTGAGCATAAAGCAACACAGGGCCACTCAGTGTGTGATGACTCAATACGCTTCAACAGGTTCAAATATCATAGATACCCGAGAAGAGCTAATATCCAATTAACGTTCGTATACACTGAATGACCATTTAGTGATAAGAATCAATCGCATCAAGAGTGGAACAAATTTCTACTCTGGAATGGTTAGCACAAACCTCGGGACTTCTATGAACACACAATATTTTAAGTCGCTTGAGTATCTCCTTTGTGAGGACGCGAGATGCAACAGCATCAGAAGTAAAGGCCAAATTCATCAGGACCTGCAAAACAGATATAAGCAATTCGTCTTCATTGCTTGTGTTCCGTAACACCATCTCAATAGCTTGCACCAAATCTGCCCGCATCAAGCGGACTCCCACTGCTCCATCTACAGCAAGCGATGCCAACGCTACGCACGCTTGGTCCACCTTCACAAAGAGAGACGCCAGCACATGCTTAGCACAATGTATGCATAAGAATGTAGACTAAAATGTAACAATAGAGGTTTGTAATGACTACTACAAAAGCTGTTACATTTAAACAAAACTGTAATGATACACTGAACTTCGGTGAAGCATAACCAACCACGTGAGGATCGTCACTAAGCATCATGCTAAGAAGTTGACGGAGAGCGCCCTCGTCCTTGCCAATGACAGACCGATTGCTATCATCTTGCGCCATCTTTGCCAAAGCAGATGCTAGCAGCGGATGTTGGCAAGATGAGAACCGGAATATGAGAGCAAAAAACACACTCAATTTGTGTTTCGATGCCACAAAATACGAAGCTGCTTCAGCCTGCATCGAGATTGGTAAAAAATCAAAAAAGAGGTTTTCATCCCTACCAATCTCATCAATTTTCTTATATACATATATGCAACTCTAGATACATATACTCCTCGTTTCCTTCAATAGGTCACTATGACCAAATAATTTGAAGCCGCGATTACGGGTGAAGGGCGACAGCAAACAGGGCACTGGCAATCCAGTTAACTCACCCCTCTGGCTACGGTCATGACTTCATTTGTCACTAGATTAGGAAACGAACAATAACATAAATTTTGGACCAACTTTAAATAGTAAAGTCCACAACTTCAAACTTGACAAGATTGGTCACCACGACAACCGCAAGCCAAAGTTGCAAAAGCACACCTCAATGTCAACTTTGATGGTAGAGAGATCTTGATCACCCTCGATGCGGACATTGGCAAGAGACAGATGACGCAAGTTTGCGCAAGGAATTATTTCTGGTAAAAACTCCAGAGGGTTGCCAAAAAGTCGTAATACTCGTAGCTTGGACATAGCCCTGATAATGAGGGCACCAGAATAGACCCTCCATCAGAATCCCTGTTATCCTACGTGAAGCTCCACAACTCTGAGAATACTTGGAAACCATGCACACTTGGTGACAGTCTTCGATGGCAATTCCTGATACCAGTTCCAAGCCACATCGCCTTTACGTAGGCTCCGATCACTCACACAATAACACATGTTACCTCCACTCAAAATTCAGGCTAGTTTCCGCCTAGTCTTACCTCTGAGTATGGTAACTCAATACACTGGGTCAAACACAGGTATGATTTTTAAGCAAATCGAGTTCAAAAGCACGTAGATGCTCACCTGAAATCTAATAAAGGGCGAACTAGCTTGTTGTATTCGAGTGAAAGCTCCACCAACTCGATACATTGCCGAAGCTCGGCTGCAACACATTACCATGTAAGACGTATTTACAGACCAGACAAAATTACTGAAAAAGAAAACAGACGTAATTCTACCATTACGGCGAGGGTTGAGGCTTCGCAGAATACCTGGAACAGACACAAGTGCATTATGGTCACATTGAAGCACTTGCAACCGTGTGAGCTGTCCAACTTCTGGAGGCAATAGTGTGAGTTTATTGTTATCCAAGTATAATTTTTCTAGCAATGGCAGCTTCATCAAGTCTGAAGGTATGGTCTGCATATTCACAACCACAACGTTTTGAGCAACATGCAAGGAGAGCTCGGCAGATATTCTAGCCATGAGCAACTCAAACCTTGCAAAGCCTGATTCAAGCCAGGACGCAGGTAATGTTGGTAATATTCACAACTAATATTGGATTCGTGATGCTAACGCTACAGGATCGTACTCGGAGCCCAAAGAAGCGCCTGGAAAGCAAGTCTTGATGACACGGCACAGAAAGTACAGACCACGTAATGCATTTACCGTGCGATAAACGAAGGAACGTTACAAACACTATGGATTGAAAAAGTCACACCGGAGCTTACAGTAAGGAAGCAATTTGAGAGATTGAGAATGGTAATGGATCGATAGTTCCGACTGCAGCCCAAAAGTTCCTCAGAAACAGTCGCTCTTGGAACGTGGTCAACTGATGATCCTGGTGCGACCAACCTTGTCAGCACACTCAGTCCATCTCCTGATGGTCCTGAACCCACTGTCCTCGACAGTGACACAACGCGGAGAAGCTCCCCCCGCTTCTGTACTTCCATTTTAATTTGTACATTCTTGAAGGTTTCATTTTCGACGTGATTTCCCGATTCCTCATTTGTTGGTGGCGTGAGTGTAAACGACACATGGATGTCGTCTTGAGGAGCCGGCAGTGTTATCATAATTAGGGACTGCAGCTTCAGAACCACTTGATCTTCATCGTCGCCAGCTGACCAATCGAGCTCAACCCGATATCTGCAAGACGAGAGGAGGTCGCTGCCGATGTCGGACTTCAAATGCTGGCTATTCTTGAGCAACTCCAGATTGGGAGATTGGACCTGGTCACCGTAGCCAAGAGTCAGGTGGAACGTATCCACCTGCCTCTTCCAGCCTGTAACCCAAGACATGGTGCGGGCGACAATGCAATTGGACTACATCCGGTTTCGGACTGGTGCTCCTATTTGAGAATAGGCATGAGGATCTCTCACTAACTGCATTGAGACCTCCTGAGGGTTATATCTCTGCAACGGAAGGAGTCGTAAAGATCCTTAGCAGCACACCAAACTGCAAAATCAAAGGAGATCAATGAGATTGTCAAATCTCCCACCGTGCTTACAATTCTACTGTTCATAACCTATCTGTGCATTCACCCTACAGCTCCTTCTACAAGAATACCTCACATTCATGAGATCATTACATTCCCAAATGCATGCGAAAGTCAAAATTTGCCACAACACTGAATTGCGGTTGCTCTTTCCCACATCGTTCACAGCGAAAGAACGGACTTCAAGAGATCTATCTGATGCATTTAGATTCCAGAGGACCCAAAAGGAGCCAGTTGGGAAAACAATCATCGCATCTGCTGGATCTCGAATTGTGCACTATGGAACGTATGGGCAAATCTCAATTTCAGCCTCTGCAATAGAGTAGAACTGGTCTACTGCAAGATGTCCAACCCTCGTCGCGAAAAGACCACAGAACTTCGAGAAGATAAATAGCAAATTAGGGCAAAGTCCTGCTGTACAGCTTCCGATCCAACACCGATGGTCATTGGCATACAATATATGCACTTAGCAACCCACCGCAGGGTCCAGGAACATAGGACAATGTTACCATCGGAAAAGAGGGCGTAATTGACAGCATTGTAATCATTGGGAAACTATCCATAAAATGGCAATTGCTCTAACACAACACCCATTGCACCTCTCGAAATGGCAGAGGTTGCACACGAACCTCACAAGGTAATAAATGCCATATCCACAAAAAGCACGTGGTACAGAGGCAGCTGACACCACAAGATCTCCAAGAACCCAGCACACGCGAGCCGCTCGTCGACAGTGTGTCGTGATTTACATCGGCAACATTTTAAACAGGGAACCCTACGGCAGACATTGAGTTCCAAGAGGCAATTGGAGACCACGCATGACAAGAGCAGATGTGGCGAATTCAGAGCGGGGTGGAGAGGAAGAGAAACTAAGCGAGGAGTGGAAGGGACAGACGACACAAAGGGATGGAGGGTGGGGGGTGACGCGCAGCGTGACATAGGAGGAACTCAGCGAAGACGGAGAGAGATTAAGAGAGAGCAGGAGAGTCAAAAGGATGCGCAATCAGGACACAAAGGCCCAAGTCCCCAGAATGACAACAACGGAGCCCCACGTGGTGTTTCCAACTGACGAAAACCCGCACGACGCGATCGGCAAGAATAAAAGGCAAGTACCTGTCAGTGCCTTTCCTCTTCCGTTGAGGTGAAGCAACGATGGCGATCACAACACCTCGTCTGCTCATTTCGCAGCTGACGAATCCACGATCACCGCGACTTTCGCGACGATGACGATACCCCACCAACGAAACTCGTCTCTCTCCCTCTCTCCAATTGCAATGCTTTTTCCGTCTCCTGCTACGGAAGGCGTAACAATGCTCGCTCTGGAGCACGAGGTGCTTCAACCACGCGATTTCGTCGACGACGACGCCCCAGAAGCCGACTCAGAAGCTTAAATTCGCTGCACATCTCGCATCACGTCGGAGCCGCCCTCGCCCCCTCCTAGTCGATCGTATTTTGTTGTGTATATTATATGTATTGTTCCTGTGTACAAACGTATGTGTGTATAGCGTATGATGTATACGCTGGTCTGCGTATATTTAACAGAATTTGATGTTATGATTAATTTCTCTTGAAGTTTAGAAGTCTAATTGTAAAAAAATTGTAAAAATATGATTAAGGCATAATAGCCAGAGATATGATTATGGCTGCACAATCATTTACTCGTTTCTATTTTTATCCGCATTAGATTATTTTTTATAAAAGAATTAGATTCCAAATATTTCTTTATCTTTTGCAATATCATTGCACTTTGAATCATATTTGGATCTATGAGAACAAAATTGGAATATATAGACAAACACATCCTAACCATAATGTTTTAGATAGAAGAACTTTTATTATAAATGTTCCAAAGACTTTTTTGTCCAATGAGGAATTGTGTTTTAGAATTAATAAAACTTTGTTGAAGATTGACTTGATATACATTCTTTTGAACAAACAAAAAGAGAGCCAAGAATTTTAACAAAATATCCCTTTAGATGCATCTAGTTTTAGAATCACTCATGCCCCTACAACACAAATGTCATATTTAACTATGATTTGTCTTTATTCTTTATTAAATCCTAAATTTTTTTATTTTTATTTCATATTGTTTCTAAAGATTTTGTATCTTTCTAATTTCTTCCATATAAGTAAAATACTATAGTATAATTTTAATATATATTAAATCATTTTAATACTAAGATTAGTCACTATTTTTAATCTCTTATTTATTATTCAATATAACCATCAATTTTAGAATTTGTTGCTATATTGCAATTTTCAAGGATATAAATCTGAAAATAATCCTAAGAAGACAACATAATCTTGTGACATTGAAAGAAAATTAAATAAATAAAGAAGAAATAAATATAAAATAGATAAAGAACTAGAATAGTTATTTTTAATGACAAAGAAACCAAAGAATCTCAAGCCAAGACTTAAATATAAGAAAGGTGTTGACAAGATAAAGAATAGCCTCAGTCTTCCTTCTATGTACATACTAGCTAATAAAAAGGTGGCAAAGAAGTTTTTAAAAACCACAAAGCTTATGGTTCAAAGGTCAAGTTGTAAGTTGCTTTGAATAACTTCTTATAATAAGAAACTTGCAATATAAGTTTTAATAGCCACATGTCATATGTATAGAACTCTAAATATTTAATCCATATTTGAGAAATTCTCTCTTATTTAATTTATAAAGATATTATATACCTAATACATATCTACTTACTTATACTTCCTTCTATTTACTTAAATAATATAGGTTTTTATAACAATAGCATAAAAACTTAGTAAAATGGTTAGTAATTTTTCATAAAACATAAAGAGAATTTATTATAAGTTTTACATATATTTTCTTAAATCATAGTAGCTAGTAAATTAAGTTTAATTATTGTGCTTTTGTTCAAATATATATTTTTTATTTAAAATAAAAATAAAAAATATTCTAATATAATTTAAAATAAATTAAGATCAAGTAAAGGTAGTGAAAAAATAACATAGTTACTACTATGCCCAATTAGAATTAGATTCCAATGAATACACCATATACTTGGTAGAACTAATATCTATTAAATGACCATTTGAAAGACAAGGTAAAATCTAATACTAAAGGACAAAAACAAATTTTTTTTGCAAACAAGGAGGTTTTAGAAGATTGGGAGGTGTAGTCATACAATTGGCTTTAAAATAATTCTAAGTTTGTGAGACCTAATAAATTAAAAATTAGAAAATACCATTAAAAAGATAATAAAAACCAAAGTTTTAAAGACAATAATAAAATGATATTATATATATATATATATATTGATATTTTTATGATTTATTTATTTTTAATTTATTTTTAATTATATAAATGTATAAGAAAATACTAAATTATTTAAATATTTTATATTTTAAAAATATGTATAACTTTTTTAATTACATGTAAGAAAATTTAATAATTTAATAATTTAATAATTTAAAATTAATAAACAACTCTTGAAAATCTATATATATATATATATATATATATATATATAAATCAAACAAAACCATTATTTAAGATATTAATAAAATAAATAAGACCAAGTTATATGTTAAGTTTTAAAAAGAGCAATGGCTAGATTAAAATAATTGGTGATTGAAGGTCTTTTTAATGTTAAAAGTAAAATATCAAATAATAACAATAAAGATTCAATTCCAACATGTATTTGTTTATTAGTTGAATCAAATTTAAGTTTTCAACTAGATGAATATAAAATATAAATAATACTATCTAAATTTTATAATAAATGTAATAATCCAATTATAAATTTTTAATTTTTAAAATTTATTCATTAAAATTTAATATTTGTTAGGATTTCTTAAGAATTTATAGACTCTAGGATTTATAATATTTGAAAATTTTAGATTATGAATAAGATTATAGTTTCTATTTTTTTTTTTTTCAATAGCAAGATAATTATGGTGCCATGAATATTTATCTTTCTAAAACTACTTTTTAATATCTTTTTAAAGAAGAATTTATATAATACAACCTTGTATCAATATAGTTTTTACTTAAATTTGAATATTAAAGATATTACTTGAAATCAACAAGTTTAAACTATATTTAAAAAGAATCTATTATATGCTTAATGATTCTTTAAAAAATGGTGATCAAAATAGGATTAAATATTAAATTGATGTTTACAATTTTAAATTTTAGATTGATGTTTACAATCTATGCATAAAGTAGGTTGCTCCCAACACAACTTTCTAAAAATATGAAACTTATGAGACAAGTTTTAATACCCCCCTGGTACATTGTAAAATGTTAAATATTTAATTTGGATATACAAGACATCATTAAAGCTTCTCAAGAAAGATACTATCATTCCTATATGTTGCTACCTGCTTATAATTACTTCTATTTAAGTGAGTAATATATGCATCTATTACATAATGTTAACATGAGCATATGTTTATTAATTACACACATATACATGTGTAAGATCTTTTGATACTCTACACATATATTACAAGCATGTCTTCCATGTTCAAAGCTTTTTAAGTCATCAAAATTAGTTGAATTTCCTTTTCACTCTGTAATTCAATAATGAATCTAAATTAAATTCTTGTGAGAATTGAGAGCATTAAATTTAAATTTAAATTTTTTCAAAATTTTAATATTTTTCTTCACTTTTTATAATTTAATTTACTATTATTTACTATATTCTAAAAAATTACATGGTTTAAATTTTTATGTTGGCAATTAAATTTTATCCTTGAAAAGAAAAATAGATTTAATGTTTCAACTACATTTATAAATGTGGTTGATAATTTATCAAAAAAAAAGCTGTAATAAGACTATATTCTAATAATAGAAATAGATTAGAAGTTCAGGACTTATAATATATCTATGTTAAAATAATTACAAAAAATCAATAAATGTTAAAAATTTAGCAAAGCTTCACAACATAAATTTGCCATATGTACAGAATGTTAGATTTGAATTTCAAATATATATATATATATATATATACTTACTTACTGATGATTCAATAGAGTGAAAACAAATATTATTTTTTTATCTGATTTTGATTTTTAATTTAAAAAATATTCTTATATATATATATATATATATATATATATATATATACGTGTACCTTCTAATTCACTTTAATTTTATATACCAGCAATATTAATTAAATTATTTTACTAGTTGTACTATTTAATATTCTGTTTGTATCATTATAAAATAATTCTAAAATAAAAATTCAATATTTTTGTTTTTAATACATTAACTTATCTCCAATTTTCATTGCTAATATATACATGTATATATAGTTAAATCCATCAACCCATTTTTTGAATAGAAAGAAAATTAGGTATATATATATATATATATATATATATTCATTGCATTTTATTATGGAATGTTTTTTTTTCTACTTATATTTGTATTTTTCATCAATAATAAAAATATGTAATGTAACATTCTATAATTAAATCACACAGTATAATCAATTCATTATGTTTTCTTTTCATAATGTTATCAGAGAAATTATGATTTTTGTAATATTTTCAATCTTTTACATAAATTTATGTATATATATAGATATCTTCAATTTTATGCAACGATAATACTTTTTATTATTATTTGTACTAATATTAAATATAATGCATACAAATTCCACCACTTTTAAATTCAAGTATTTTGGTTATTGAAACAAGGCCTTTATATTTTTTAATTTTGATTTTGCTTAAACAAAGTTTTGATTTATTAAATTGATTCAGTTTTTTTTCTGACACCCTAACAAATAAAATAGATTTTGATATCTTATAAATTATATTAAAATGAATTATCATCTATTCACTAATCTTATAGTATTTTAAGCAATTGAACTTATGTAATTTTATTGTATATGTTATTGATTCTTATAAAGAGATAGAAAATCAATTAATAATGCTGTATTAAAATCATATTTATAACTATAAATTTATGTTTCTTTTTAAATTAGCTTGTTTCTAAAATAATTATAAGATAATAAATAAAACTATTATTGTGATGATTAATTAACAATTAATAATTTTGATAAGAGTTTAGTGTAAAATTTTTACAAGAAGTGTGTCTCTCTTTCAATATATACATACATATATATATATATATATATAAGTGCTTATTATACTATTTTAAAGTAATTATAAGTTCTATCATTGTGCTTTTATTATTATTGTCATTATCATTATTTAATCAGATCACGTGTTTATGGATTGCAATAAATTATATTATATATTCAATCATGTTAATTAATTTTGTATAAAAAACATAACTATTAACAAAGATAACATTTTTTAATATAGTGATCTATATTTAAGCAACCAATTTTTTAATAATAAACCAAGAAGTTCAGTATAATCTGAGTGTTACCAATAATTGTCCATATACATATGCTAATGAGATTGATAAGTATGATAAACTTAATTATAATGTAGTCAATCATTGAATTTTTTTTTATTACCTTTGATAAAAACAACCGCTTACTCCTAAGGTCTCTCGAGTTAAGAAAAAAACATACAACAATGCTATATAACAACTAAAATAAATAATTTTTTAAGTGCAAAAATTATTTCAACATGTTACCTTCTATGATTTAAATTGTATTAAAAACAAATGTGATCATTCTATTTAATAATCACAAGTTATATATAATCCTTTTCATTGGTTTTCATATATATTGTGTGCCACCAAACTGCCCTAAGATTATCTAGTTCCAAAATCACACCCCTGCAGGTTCATCAATTGATGTCATATCATTATGCTTACTCCAAAAATCTTGTTTTCTTAACAAGATTAAAATTCATTGATAACAACAACAAATTATTACTTACACAAATTGCACTAAACCATATATTGTACACATGCGCACATATGGTGTATGTGACAAATTCATTGAAGCCATTAACTTTGTACTACAAAAAGTCATCTTAACCGTATGTGGGATTACTGACACAAGTAGGACTAAATAAAAGTATTATTCTACCGAGTGAGCTTTGAGAACAAAAACACACTCACAATTCTGTTATGAGGCAGCAAAAGAAACAATCCTATCTCATAAAAGTTAAACACAAATACGGATAGAAAGCAAAAGTTTGCAGAAAGCCTTCCATCCTTTCATCCATCACAACTCTGCTTAAGCACCAAAATGCAAAAGCCCCAGGGAGCGCGAGAGGCCACGGGGACTTTTAAATAGATGAATGAAATATCAACATCCTGTGGATGCATAGACGAATGAATGGTTGTGGCTGGATGGTCGAAGTTCCCGGATGCCCAACGGACAGACGCTGGATCCGCGACGTGAGAGGATAGGGCCCCTCAACGCGACGCAATGATACGTAGAACAGTGCGCGACGATACTGTGCATGACCTCGATCGGAGCAGGAAACGGAGCATCAAACGGAGCGGCAGGGGTTGTCGCGGTACAGCCAGATTGGGCATCTCTTCCAGTGCCTGAGTGGCCCCCCTCTCCTCCGCCCTCGACTACATCGCTGCGTCGGGGTTTTATGTGCTCGCGTGGCCACAAGTCTGGTCTCATTTGCTCGCTCCACTCCTCGCGAACCCTCACCCTTCATTCTCTTACTCTTTTCTCTTCTTCGCTTTCTTCCTATACCCGCCGCCATGGCTTCCCTTGCTGCCGTTGCCGCCGCTGCTGCTACCTCCGTGGCCTTGCCTAGGAGCTTCTCTTTCTCCGGCCTCCGCCCCACCCGCGCCGTGTCTTCCATTGTCGCCTTCCCCCGCTTCGCCGTCGTTTCCAGCCACTCCCGCATGGTGCCCTGCATCCGTGCCGATGCTGTGCGTCCCGAATCCTCTTGTTCATTCCTTTTTGCTTTCTTGTTGGTGAAAGTCCGTTCCTTGCTTGTATTTTAATGTGGTGTTTCTCATTAGTATTTATTTTTGTTGCGTAGGCTGCCGGAAAGGGAGAGGACGCTCCCGTGACGGATGCTGCCGGAGAGGATACCTTCACTATCATTCAGAAGATCATTGCCTCGCAGCTGGACTGCGAGAAATCTGACATCACTCCCGACTCCAAGTTTGTTGATCTCGGTGCTGACTCGTTGGACACTGTGGAGATCATGATGGCCCTTGAGGAGAAGTTCGACATTCAACTTGAGCAGGAGAATGCTGACAAGATCGTGACGGTTGGCAATGCTACTGATCTTATCTTGGAGGTACTCGCTAATCAGTAGAGGACCTTAGAATTCTGTACTCCATTGTCTGGCGGACAAGCTTTTCGATAGCAAATCCGGCGGCATCTCTATCTTTCGGCGGCAGATTATTTAGGATGAGATGTAGGTTTGTGACGTTTGGGTTGTTTTTCATGTGTAGTTGCTCACCACAATGTAGCCTACTACATTTATTGTTAACATTTTTAAAGAATTAGTTCAAAGCATATATGGGTCGTCTTTCGGTTTCTTTGTATGGCCATGGCGGAGAGTGCTTAATACTTGCCGAATGCGTGTTACGTTACGATGTTGAAGTGTTAACTGTGATATCAATAGAATTTCAGTATTAAATCTAACTCGATCTCTGCGGAAATCCTTGTCAAATATGTTTGAGAAGACACTTGCTAAAGATTTGATATTCAAGTATTCTACGCTGAGACTTTGGAATGAACGCCGGGATCTACTTTTCTCGATGTTATCGAACAATGACAAAAGCCTTGATATAGTATTTTAAGTAAGTCTCCGCTCTTCACGCATCCGCATCGAAAGCCCGGCTTACTCTCACTGTAGCTGCTATCAGGTCGTCGCTAATTTGTGATGTAAATAACTCTGGTGGAGTAGGCAAAATCCTGACCTTTAAACTTCACATTTCCTATCTTCTACGACCTTCAGCAGGATCTAGGAAGTGTGCTCTCTCTTCTAGATAAGGGTTATCACCACCAACATTTTTGGATACCTGCCATGAGCCTTGATATGCGACCTATAGCTGGCCTTTGACTCGCCTGACGGGCTAATACCGCTCTATCATGCATTCCGTTGGACTAACTAGTACATTGTCAGCCACATACTCTATCCAAGCAGACACAGTGTGAGCAAATAGAAGAGCACTCTAGGTAGACCACCTTAATTCCCGAGCATGGACTCGTTCACCGCTTCGTAGCAAGAATCCGAACATACTCTTGAAGAAATGAGGCTGCTTACTGAACATCTCTTGGGCGTAGAGGGTTTCACTGTACATCGGTTGAATTCATTGCTTCTGTCTCAACATTCAGCATGCACAGAACTTTACAAAGAATATATCTGTAAATAGTCAAAGTGGCAAACTTGTTATTGTGACGTAATCAGGATCCTGTGGGCCAATGCGAAGACATCCAGCACTGCCCATTCTGAGTCAAAAATCACAGGTCAATTCTCAGCCTTTTAAATATTAAAAAATCCAATTGTTTTTGGGGTCTCGTGGTAATAACTACTATTTTTTTATTTGTAGTGGGAGCACTAATGCTGGGCAGAATTTTGAGAGATCTAGACTCGCTAAATAACTCAAAACTACTGTGGTGATGGTTTCTGTGTCTTCGGGGTGTCTGGAACTGAAGGCGGCTACAGTCTAGGTTTAGGGTGTCCAAGCGCCGGCTTTCATAGTATGAGGCGTGAACAGCGCTGAACCAGTGAGTTGTTCACTCGAAAACTCCGCGGCCCCACAAATCATGTTTCCGTGGTGCGCTCGCGATTTTAGGATTTCGCTAGAACTGCAGCTTGCCCGAAATCAGATTGTTGCCCGAAATCAGATTATTATTTTAAAGCTGTTATGATTTTTTGGGAGGATTCATTAAACTTGTAAGAGTTTACAAATTTCATTGAGGAACAAAAGGTTTCACATATTTCGGTTTGTATGCTAGGAACTCTTGATTTTACAAAAGGACAACTCAATTGTAGCAATTGAGCGCTTGACATGATGCAGGAAAATATGTAATCATGTTTGAAACTACAAGATATACAAATATCATATTGCACAATATTTGTAATTTTGACTTCAGCACCGGTCCAGATTCTGCCACTGGCACGATTTCAGTGACTGCGCACTCTTTGCAGATCTTGCGAAAGCTGTTCATTCCTCCGAGACAATGTTAGAAACCCAGGTTTTATACTTTCCGACAGATTGCGGTCGGTACTATTCTTCGCATTCATAGCTGAGGATCTAACAACTTGAGATAGCAGAACGCGCACGCGTATCTGCCCGCCCTGAGGTCAGAACCATTTGGCTGAAGACAAGTTGGAAATAGATATGAGCCACTATGTATAAACTCGCTGGAGAGTAGGCAAGTCTCGCACAGTCGCCGACTGTGAGAAACTCTGTCATGGTTGCTGATCCAAAAAACCTGTCGAACTCATGTCGATTCCTGTGAGATCTTGAGATTATTGTATTCTATCCATCGCTGAGCATCTTCTTCAAATGCAGATTACACAGAAGGCGTTGACATTCATATATGTACACTTGCATGCTCCTTTTTCAGTGAAGCAGCACTTATACTTCGTGGAGTTGCTGCAAACAAAGGTTCTTTGCCACGATGATTTTGCAAGTCAGAGAGTTATGCATCAGCGAACTACGAAGGTCAATCAACTTGTGTGACGAGACCCCGACACGAATTGAAAACTGATTACACTGATCTGATCCACTGAGGTGAGATAATCAAACTGATGGGAAGCTTCTCACATTCTTATTAGTCATCACATCACAAAAAAGTTCTCGAAGTTGATTTGGCAGTTTGTAAGGCAGAAGATAGACTTAGTGAAGAAGAAAGTCACAGCACATAGGAACTCAAGAACAACCTAAATCATGTCAACAGTAGTGTTGAGTAAGTTGAGAATCAAGGAAGAACAAAACTGAAAGTCGACGAAGGACACCAAGAGAAGAATGTTGGAAGCTTCACTCGTTCCTGATGAAGGATATTTTCCGATATCAGAGAAATAAGTACGTTTTACGAACAGACATTTTGAGTACACAATTTTATTGCATTTTCGATTTCCGCTTCATTGGTGCACTCCCTTACACTGATCTGGTTTAAACCAAGAGCTACCATACTCTAAAATAACCAAAAATGAATGGCTCCTGATTGATAAAGCATCAAAGCTGCAGGAGTACAATCATGGGCAATGTGAGGGGCACCGAGAAGGTTTGTGACACTTGTCAACCCACAATAAAAGGTGCAACACGAAAGGAGCTATACAGACCCAATGAAGCAATCCTATTCAACCAAGAGTAAAAACTGGATCCAAGTGATTTAAATTAGGGGCCACATTCAAAAAGTACAAAAATGGATGCAGTGTAGAAGCGGCTACTTTGGTCTCAATCAACTGAATACCACTCGTTTTTACAACGTAATTTCCATGCCAAATCCACAAGTGATGTTTCTCAATTCCAATCCTGAAGTCTTTTGCACTCCCGGTGTTAACCTCCCAAAAGGAATGAATACGGTGAGAGAACCCACTCGTTTGAGCCACTTCCAGGCGACTTACTTCTCGACGCTCGTCAGCTGCATGCAAGGCTAGTACACGATAAACTTGACGAACTCGCAAATTGTGCAATCTTCAAATTCGCGACTCAGCCCGGATTGCTTTGGTGAAAATGCCCTTCATTGATCTGTGGAGCAGCATTTCTCCAGGACTAAACCTTCAGAATAATTCTCCATTTCCCAGATTTTTGAAATTCGGGGTAGATGCCGGGGATGTAACTCTGGAGTACATTGACGCCCACTGAGGTGGCAAATTTGAGCACCTGGACAAATCGTCGAATTCTCAGGTTCGTTTTCTTCAATTGCTTCAACCCCAATTCCATTCTACCGAGCATTCACCTCACTGGACAGGAATGGGGCTCAGCGAGCAGTCTGCTGCGGACAGCCCTGGTGCCGGAGGATTGTTGTTGCGCAATTGCAATGTCATTAGTATGCACGATGATGATGCTGAAGAGGCTCAAGTGGCTATGGGAGTGCACGTCTTGGTTCAAGGCAAACGGATTTCATACGTCGGGCACTCTCCTCCCCCCGTCTCTGTATCTCAGGTGCGTACCTACTTTTCTCCGCCTCGGCAATGTCTTGGTTATACATCTTTGCGTTTCTCCATTACATTATTCTCAGAACTGAGTGTAGCAAGTAGGGTGCATAGTTGCGTATGAAATTGCAACCAGATTGTTCTGCATCCTGACTCTCTTCTCGAACTGCGTCGATGGAACCGCAATGGCGAAGACGATAGACATCCAGGGAGGCTACATAATACCAGGGCTGTGCGATGCTCATGTCCATGTGACCGCGGTGTCAGCCAACCTGCATGACTTGCTCGTACTGCCACCTAGTCTGGTGACCGCACGCACTACGATCATTCTTCGCGACATGTTGATGCGTGGTTTCACCACCGTGCGGGATGCAGGGGGCTGCGACTGGGGACTTGCGAAGGTGCGTTGCATCTATCTTGGCAACACCAGTGTACGACTCCAGTGCTCCAGTTCGTGTTTAACACGCTGGGTTTTCCACACTAATGCTTCACGCATTGAAATCTGAATTAGGCAGTGGAGGAAGGGACGATCCCAGGACCGCGCATATTGTTTTGTGGAGGCGCACTTTCACAAACAGGTGGGCATGGCGATATGCGACTCCGCGGAGAAGACAGGGTACCCAGCTGTTGTCCGATATCCCTGGGAAGAGTGTGTGATGGGGTTGACCAAGTTAGGTTGGCCGCTCGGGAAGAGCTTCGTAGAGGTGCTCACCACATCAAGATTATGGCATCTGGTGGAGTTTCCTCACCAACTGATTTCCTTACTAACCTCCAGGTCCTTGAAACTCTATCCTTCCATCCCAACGTGCTCAATGTCACCAAACGGTCTTATCATCTCCTTTGTGTAAATGTTTTTTTACGACTAACGATGTGCTCGGGTGCAGTTCTCCGCAGACGAAATATCAGCCATTGTAGAGGAAGCTCGTCATGCGGGCAAATATGTGTGTGCTCATGCGTACACTGCACCTGCGATCAAGCGTTGCCTAGAGTTGGGCGTCCGCTCCATTGAACACGGCAATGTATCTTTCATTTTACCCCTAATTCTTTTTCCCTCGTACCTACGTGTCGTCATGTATCACTCATTCTGAGTATTGGATTTGCGTTTGCTGGTTGTGCGGGTTTGACAGCATATCGACCTGGAGTGCATAGATCTTATGAAGCGGAGGAATTTCTTTCTGGTGCCCACCTTAGTGACTTACGATTGTATAAAGCGAATTGGTGAGGAATCTGGAATGCCTCAGGATCAAGTTGAAAAGGTCAACCCCTACAACTGTCTATTATCCTTCTGATTGACCAATAGTCTTTCCCTGTTGGTGATACTGAACCTGTGTCCTGCCTGTACAGGTTAGTGATCTCCTTGCCAAAGGATTAGAAGCGCTAGCATTAGCAGATAAGGAAGGAGTGAACATATGTTTCGGATCTGACCTATTGGGTTCCATGCATAAGTACCAGTTACAAGAGTTTTCTTTACGGTGTGGAGTTCAAAGTCCTGCTAATGCGCTCCGGTCGGCAACTACCACCTGTGCAAAATTGTTCAACATGGAGGGCGACATTGGGATAGTAGCTCAGGGGGCCTATGCAGACCTCGTAGCTCTCAAGACCAATCCCTTGCTTGACAACTTCTCGTCTCTTTTAGATCCTTCCCATGTACTCATGGTGATGAAAGAAGGCAACATTGTCAAGAGGACGAATCTGTAACATTGTAATAACTAAAATAATGCAAGGGACCTACAAGTATGATTGAGGATCTCTTTCACTTGGAACAATTGGATGATCTAATCTGACCACCTCTCACATCCATCTTTGCGCAGAATCTCCTTTTTTTTATGCCCTAAAAAGTCAATCCACCAAGTGCCAGATACTTACTTGCCTTCACATAGCTTCGGATCGCAATGCATGCGTCTATCAACGGTTCCACCAGTCTCACAAGTATCAGTACCTGCATAATCGACTTTCTACAGTTCTTTAACTAGGTTACACATCAGGTTATACATGTCAATTCGTCATACTGTATTCGCTTCTATTAGATACCCTAGTTTGACACCACAAACAAAGCGATTAGTTTAGGGTATCTAGTGTCAAACTAGGTTGTCTGTACCTACGACAACCTACAATGTTGGCAGAAACAGTGTGCTACGTGTCCAAGGATTTGCGTAACCAGTATGAGAGCGTGAAAATCAGCTCGCATGATTTATACCGCACAAGGAGTCAATCAACGGCTCCTCGGCGAGTTAAGAATGAGAATAGTATAGTGAACCCCTCGGGGTAATGTGCAGCGCATTAAAAACCTAAGAAAAAGCAGGCAGCTCACGCATCTTGTTTGTACCTCCGAGAGAGGCTCTATCAGTAAATCATCCTTCCAGAGGAGACATGCGAGTCAAAACCCTGGTATCGTTAGTCTTGACCCATTCAACGAAGGTGATCAAGATTTGTAAGACTAGCCACTGCTCTAAACATCGATTTTCTCTGCCTAGGCTCTTCGCCAAGGCGTGTATGTACAATCATCGTGGGATCTCTACTTAAATGGAATTAAGCAGTCAACTTCTCAACGACAGTCGGTGGATCTATCCGACCAATTTCTAGCTTGACAGGCTGATCCTTCTCGTCATTGACGCTGGTGGATCCGCCTTCCACAGGCAGACTGGACTTGGGTGGCCCTTGACGATTCGACTTCTTTGAGTTCAGGTAGGTCTTGAAATAGAGAGCTCCAAAGACCATGCTGGCTCCGGCCCATTGAGGGGCGGTCGGAGGATTCCCAAAAAATGCGCACGATAGCAGTATGCTAACCAGCTGTCTTGTGGTCATAATCGTAGCGAACACAAGAGCTCCGAACGTGCGAATAGTGTAGGATATGAAAAACTGGCTAGTGCTAGCCGCGGCAGACAGCATCGCAATGTCCAGAAGGCAGTCAGGATGGCGTGAAAGGAACTCTATTGCCGGAAGCCAGTGCCCTTGCGTTAAAAGACCTGCTATACTGAGACCGCAGGAGCAGAGAGTGACATAGAGGATCTGATTGTAGATTTCCATATTGTAGCCTTTGAACAACTTGTCCTGGAACGTGCTGGTGAATCCATCAAATCCAAGATAGCCTGTGATTAGCAGCAAACCCCACAAACTGTCATCCCCAGAGGACGGGTGCCGAAGCGCCCCAGCCTGGACAAGCTGAGAAGCACCCGACAGGAAGAACATGGTGCACCCGAGAGTGACAAAGACCGCCACAAGATAGTCAAAATAGTTGTACCGCTTTTGCATAATGGCAGTACCCCAAATCATGACCGGCACCATCTTGGCGGACTTGGAGAGCGTTTGCACCGGGAAGCTAACATACTTCAAAGCCTCGTACTGGCACGTGGTCGCAGCGACATTGGACACTGAGACGCCCGCATACTTGTACAAGGGAGCCACAGGAGCGATCTCCCCACCCCGCACCATCAGGATGCCCAGACAAATTGCGCAAGTAAGGAGGCGATTACAAAACACAATGAACAGCGGGAAGTTGAAGAATTCTTGAGCGCCCTGGTCCACACCACCATATGGGGCGCGCATGATCTTCTCCTGCAAGAGACCATAAATAACCAGCGTCGACATAACGCCGCCCACACAGAAGCCCAACTTCACGACGCGGCTGTCACGCAGCGCCATGGCGTGAAGCGAAATAGAGAAACACCCAGAAGAAGAAAAGAGACGAACGACGGAAGGGTCAAAGCAACGGCAGAGAAGGAGAAGTCCTCTGAGAAAATAGAAAAGATGAGCACTGAGACGAAAGCTTGAGGTCCGCCATGGCCCTGCTCAGCGATGCGGGAGAAGAAGAGGTCACCCGGGAGACATATCCGCAGCCTCACTAGTCACGAAAAACCGGCTCGAGACTGAGTGATGCCTTCCCACAAAAAGAGAGGGAGATCTCAGTGATGAGTGAAAGAGTGATGAGAGGCTTCCCGAATGTGAGAAAAACAAAAACAAAACAAAACAAAACAAACCTGGGAAAACCGAAAGCAGGAAACGAAGTGGGTTGTGATCTGTCAGTGGGGTCGGTGGGGGACAAAGAATAAAGGGCGATGGATGAGACCCGAACGAAAGCACTTGGGGGCGCAAATTCTTCCTCTTCTTCTTTACCGCTGCGAGGGCGATGGCGACGGCGATGGCGAGGCATCATCCTCCGCAGTCTCCCTGCTCGGCCCCCGCGCTCAACCACATTGACCCTCCTTATCCACATCCATGCCTTCAGCTGCGAGTCTCCTTTCTCACGCAACAACAGCAAACCCTAATTCTATGAAACCCAAGTAAGGAAACTGAATAGACTGAAATCTCGTGATTGATATGCGTTCATTGGAATTCCTCACTTGTGGGTTCTTTTGGAACAGTTCAGATATTGTCCTCTAAAGAAGTTTTACAATTCTCAATCGTAGATTAAGCAACTGAAGCGTCACAATGTATTCCCAGAATACTCTTATGAATTATGTAAAGTCTATTTTAATTCTATTTTCTAGTTTTTAGTTTTGTTTTTGGATAAAATTTAACTGATGCAGATAAAAATATAACTATAACATTGATTAATGAGAGAGTTTCTTTGTGTCTATTTATTATTTTATTTTATTTCATGATTTTTTTTATATAATTTAAATGGTGATTAAAAGTGTATTATAAAATTTTAAAATTTTATTATATTTTTTTTAAAAAATATCATATATATCCTTCAAATATGTTAAAATATCAAGAATATCCATGTATTCTTTGATTATAGCAAATATATCCCTTAGATTTGTTATAATAGCAAATGTACCCTTATTAGTGATAAGGTATCATCAACATTTTTTGTTTAATTGTCATTTAGGGTCCAAACTAAAGACCATGCAAATTTTGTTGTGCTTCTTTTTGGATTTTTTAAGACTTGAATAAATCTTGCTTCCTTTTCTTCAAACAATTTGAAGACCATGTCTTACATTTCACATTCTTGGTGGTGCCTAGCTATATGTAAAGGACAAGAATTTGATGAAAGCAAATAAACAAGTGAGATTCTATCAAAGAAATAAAAATACAAAAATATATACATTAAAAAGAAAACTCAAATGGCTATTATCGAAAGACAAGGAAACTATAGACTCTTGAAACTAGATTAGAAACAAAGAAGGAGTTGACAAAAGTGAAGAAGGCTTTATTTTTACCTCTATATATATTATCTATCTACAATCTATGTGGCGACATTTTATAAGACCTCCAAAAATATGTTGACTTTATATGATACATATCTTGACTTGCAAGGCAAGTTTTCTGCATGGGACCACATAGTTAGCTTCTTCCATAAGTTATCAACACATGTGGCACATGGATAGCTTGTTGACCAAGTTTCTAACCTATTAATTAACTACAAACATATATTAAGTCAAAACATCTAAAAAACTTCTAAGAAGCTTTTTTAGATGATATTATGAAATTAATCTATTTTTACCTAATTCTACATATTAATATTATCAAGATAATAATTTTAATAGGTATATATCCATGACATTATCTTCTCTTCTAAAGACGAGTTCCACAAGGAATACTGATCATATATTGAGAAAGTGTAAGATGCAACAAATTGTATTTGTTATGTACTCTGATCTTTATTTTCTTTGAAAGTAGTTGATAAGTCTTCTCAGCTATTGGTAATGTCCCATTTTAGGACAAATAGATCACCTTGTGATTTGATTATTGTTGAAATCTTTGTAACTTCTTTCAAACAAAACATATGTAACACCATCAAGAGTCGTACCTACTTCCAATGAAATCACCAAACATCGAGAGTCTTTTTCTAGGTCATGATACCAAACGCATTGTATCTCACCATTTATTCAAGGAAGAACATATCATTCTTGAAGGTCTTCATCTCTATTATGTTGTCTTGAAAGTTGTAATAATTACAATGTCTTGTATGATAGGTCAACAAATGATGGCTCTTGTATAACAAGATATATATAAGATATTTGTATAAAAATAGATAGTTAGAACCATGGAAGTTTCTAAAATTGGAATTAGGTTAGTGGATTATATAGGATCCATTATAAAACATTCTAAAAAGAGTTTAGGGCAATTGTTTAAGTAGGATCCATTATAAAACATTCTAAAAAGAGTTTAGGGCAATTATTTAAGTAAGATCCACTATAAAATCTTCTAGAAAAGGCTTAAGGCGATTATCTAGGTAGAATCCACCATAGAATCTTTTAAAAGGAATTTAAGGTAGTTATCTAAGTAGAGTCTACTACCTAAAAATATTTTAGAAAGTCTAGGGTGGTAGAACAAAATATAAATAGGACTAGTTAGGACCTTTTAAGGCATCTAGTTAGGTATGGCTTCAGATCCTTTCTCTTAGTACAATTTGATTTTGTATTTTCTTGTTTTGTTCTATTCTGTCATAATTTTGGTTGCTTAATTTGTCTTCCATGTCCCATTCTATTTATTTTTGTTTGGTCTTATTCTATTCCAGTTTGTCCTACCTTATAATGAGGTTTTATATTTCTTTGAATTAAAACGAACTTAGACACATTAGATAGATTGGTCTTGTTTCATTGGTATTAGAGCGAGTATTAGACAATTTACTTTTGGTAGTATGTTAATAGTCATCATCTATCCAAGGTCAATTATTACAGTCACATTGGGTATTGTGTTGAGGTTACCATGAAATACTCTTAAAAAGTCAACTGGGAGGTGAAAAGACATTACAATAGTAGAGTCTAGCAGAGAAATTACAGCATGGAAGATATAATGGAGCAATCTTAGATGGGGGCTCAAATACAACACTTCTTAGGCTAGATAGCTACTTTGTAAGGACAAATAGAAGCCTTGAGGATAAGGAAGTCAACATCTACTAGGCTAAAATTGAGTTAGCCTAGTACATAGTCTAGAACTTGAAGGCAAGGAGATGTATGCCAATGGCTCTTCAATATGTGATAATACCTCTAACTATATGGAGTAAATAACACTCAAGAAATTATATATGCAGCCAGCTATTTGAGGGATGCGGTAGCCATTTGGTGGTGACCTCAAAGCTATGGAGCTCAAGGTGGATTTTGTAATTAAAAGGAGTTAGAAACCGAGTTTAGGAATCAATTTTGGTCCATCAATGCAGAGAAGATATTACACAATCAATTGGTAAATCTTACACAATCCAGGTTGGTGCAAGTTTATGTCTCTTAATTCAAGTCCTTATCTCCTACAAATTGGGGAGCCCCATTTTCTTCCTCTGTCTCATTATCAACTTAGTAAGTTTCGAGACTATGAACCCGCCTTGTTTGATGGTGCTTAAATTTTGACGTTTTGAACAACCTCCAATGTGATGGCTTGAATCTCGATAATAAAAACACAATCTCTTTTGCACCAATATTTGTCATCTTTGTGGTATCAATAATCATTGTAGGATATTAATTTCCATTGACATTAGTTTTTGTGCCATAGTATTAGATAGCAGCATAAGACTTTGTGCTATAGATTGAACTCTACGATTTCTAAAATCTATAGCATTGACCATCTCTGCAATCTCAATTATTTTCTTTGCCTAAAGACAAGGAAACTAGAGATTCTTAAATCTAGACTAGAAGTAAGAAAAGAATTGACAAGAGTGAAGAGGGCTTCACTCTTGCCTTTATATATAGTATCTAATTAAGAGCTATTAACAATGTTCTATAGGACCTCTAATATGTATTGACTTTCCAAGATACATGCCTTAGCTTACAAGGCAAGTTTTCTACGTGTAAGTCACATACATAGCTTGTTCTTCAAGCTACCAACATGTATAGCACAGGGCCAACTTACTGACCACGTTTTTAACCTAAAAAGTCAATTAAAGACACTTATAAAATCAAAGTAGTATCTATAAAGCTTCTAAGAAGCTTGTATAGAAGATATTATGAAATTAATTTATTTTTATCTATTATTATCTAAATTATATAGGTAATTATTGATTTATATGTGTATGTCCATGACATTATCCTCCCTTCTAGAGATAAGTTCCACGATTAGCAGTCTTCATATGTTGAAAAAATCTAAGATGTGGCAAATTGTATTTGTCACATATTTCGATCTTTGTTCTCTTCAAAGATAGTTGATAAGCCCTGTCATCCATTGATAGTATTCTATATCAGGGCAAGAAGACCACTCTGTTATTTGGTCATTATTGAGGCCTTTGTAACTTCCTTCAAATAAGACATTTAGAACATCGTCAAGAGTTTTTCCTACCTCTAATAAAATCACAAAACATTGGGAGTCTCTTCCAAGGTCGTGATATCAAACACATTGTATCTCATCATCTATTTAAAGAAAGACATGTCATTCTTGAAGATCTTTATCTTGATTTTGTTTATCTTGAAGGTTGTGAAGATCGCAATGTCTCATCTAGTAAGTCTACAAATGAAAGCTCTTGAGTTGAATCTACCAGTTGTTGGTTCTTCATCTTCTTAACATTACAAATACATAAAAGCTACAAAGAAAGATAGAAGGTAGAATGCAATCTTCCCTAAACCTTCTTTCTTTTATAGCAAAGACTTACTATTCTTTATCTTGATTTAGATGGATGTTGCCAATGAAAAGCGTCCACCACATTTGTTACAGTTGCAAGATTTTTTATTGACTCCCATGTACATTCACTAATATCATATTCGTTCTAATGGACAAGATATTCTAATTTATTTTGGCATTGTCTTGAGTCTAGAACTTCTTCCACTTTGAACTCTTCATTATTGTCAACTTCTATAGGAGGACGTAGAGCTTGTCTTCTTGTTGATATGTTCATAGTCTTGTATGATTCAAGAAGAGACACATGGAAGACATGATAGATCTTTAATAGCTCTGATAAATATAATCAATAAGCAATTGGATTGATTTATCCACAAATAAGAAAAGGTCCAAGCTTACGATAGTCCAACTTATCATAAGGACAAGTAGTCTTAATATTACAACAAAGCAACCATGTATTATCACCCACATTGAATTGTAGTTGTTCCTTTCGATAGGCATCTATGTTGATCTTTTGTCATTCTTGAGCTTTCTTTAATTGCACCTTCATTGTTGCATGTAGCTCTGACAAACGATTTGCCAAACCTTCTGTTGTAAGAATATCAACTTTTGAAAAGTCAAAAGTATCAAATTGTAGATGGTAGCCATAATTGGCAAAGAAGATGTTTGTTGCATAGAAGAATGAATTGTATCATTATAAGCAAACTCTACCAATGGCAAGAGGTTTCTCCAATCATCTGGATGATAATTGATGGTATTCCTTAAATATTGCTCCAAAACTTGATTTACATATTTTTTTTGTTTATTAGTTTGAGAATGAAAGGCCAAAGAAAGCTTTATATCCATCTTTAAAATCTCAAAAAGAGTTCTCTAAAATCTTGATAAAAATTGAATTTTCCTATTTGATGTAATATCTTTTGGCAATCCATAATATCAATAGATATTGTGAAGGAAAAGATTGGCAGTTTTTTCACCTATGATATATTTTGTACATGGTACAAAATGTGCCATTTTAGTAAAATGATCTAAAATGATCAAATATTAAATCTTGAGAGTAAAAGATCTGTAATAAAATCCATAGAAATAAAAGACCATGGTTGTTTTGGAATAAGTAGTGGTTGAAGAAGTCCATAAAGTCGATGCCAAAGAGTTTTTGACCTTGAACAAATATCATACAATTGAACAAAGTCTTTTATAACTTTTTACATTTTCGACCACCAAAAATCTCTAGATATTAGCTCCAAAGTCTTGTTGTATCCAAAATACCATGATGCTGGAAAGTCGTGACATACTTGATGAATATGTAAATGTGTTTTTTCTTCTTTTGGTACATATAGGCATCCTTCAAAATAAAGTAAGTTATTCTTGAACTCAAACTCAAACTTAGAAGAAGTATTCTTGATATCATGAACAAGAAGATCAAAGAATATACTTGATTGAATTTGTTTGAGAAAACTTGAATCAACAATCAATGTTGATTTCATTGCTCGAAGATGAAATTATTCTGGTTTCAATAATATTATCTTTTGTTGATCAAAAGTTGTATCTCCTTCTTTAAGTATAAGATAAGAACGTCTGCAAAGAGTATCAAATAAACCTTGTTGTTTTCTTGGCGGATAAGTGATATTGAATTCAAATCTTGACACAGACATCTCTAACGAGCTTGACAACGATTCAAAACACAAGCTGACATGAAATACTCAAGGTTCTTGTGATCTATATACACGGTGATTGAATTGGAAGCACCTTCTAGATAATGACTCCATTCTTGGAAAGAATCCACAATTGCAAGAAACTCTTTGTCGTGGATCTCATAGTTAATCTTTGTTGCTGAAAATTTCCTGAAATGAAAAGTTACTAATTGAAGTTTATCATCTATTCCCATTTGTCATAATACGGCACCCAAAACAAAGTCCGATGCATCTATTTCCATAAAAAATACCTTAGAGAAATCAACGCGATACAAGATTGATGCAGAAACAAAGGTTGTTTTTAAAGCTTCATCCATACATGTCTCAGAAAATTGATTGAGTTTTACAATTCTATAAATTATTCCATTATAGATATTCAAAGAAAAATATCAAAATAAAGACATTAAAAGAATTCAGTTGCATGTGATGTATATTTTTAACTGTCTTCAAAGATAAAGCTAAATTTTTACATCACCATTCACTAAAAATTGAGTAAAACTATTCCATGATAAACAATTTTCAACAATGTGTATAAAAGTATACAAATAACATGTTTTACAATTTCAAATTGTGATAGAAGGAACACTAAACTATTTGTTATAATAAATCTTTACAAACATGTTAAAATTTAAGTTTCCACTTTTCAATAGCTTTAAGAAATAACTTTAAAAGTACATACATTACATACAAAGATTTGCATTAGCATACACAATTGAATCCTTAGTTGAAGTATATTTTTATAAATGAATTCCATCACAAATAAACAAATAAAATTCTTTCATTTATATTCCAGAACTCCATAAACTTAGAGATCTGTATATCTCAATTTCATTTCTCCTCAGGAATCAAAACTTGAATGTTAGTTCTATGTTGTACTGTTGCTAAAACTACAGCAATTTCACCAGATTTTAAGCTAGTATTTGAGGACTCCTAAACTGAGTAGAAATTCTAGAGGTATTGAATTGATCAGCTACCACCCATCACTCAAGAGAGGACACCAAGGATTGCGCCAGGATTTGCAAGATTTTAAGCTCTGGCATGGAAGGAGAAGCTCCACTTGTGGCGAAGAAGAAAGGACTGAAAAGTATTGCAACCTCATCGCCTGGTGAGGAAGATAAGACAAAGTCCATGTACGTCTAGCAATTGAAAGTGATGAAATGACAACAAGAACCATGTGAGTGAGGAACAGATGCAATAATCCAATTGGGTCATCGGGAGACTATGAGATAGCTGGGTGCCCACTATTGAGTAGGGCTCTGCAGCTACAATTGTTGCTACACAGACAAAATCTTCTAATACTCCACCTACAGCCACTTGGTAACCTGGGTTCCTCACTATATATCTATATATATATTTATATATCCATGACTAACTCCAGGGTATGCAGAACAGGATATTCTTTTCAATCAAACCAACACATACTAATACAGTAACCTCAGTTCTTGGCATAAATTATGAGAGTGGTTGTACTTCATTCATCAACAAAGCTGGAATCAGAAATTAAAATAAAACAGAAAAGAAAAGAGAGGAGGATTGTCAGTGACGGTGAAGCGTATCGTACTCAATAAACCATGCTGGAACGGGAACAAATGTACCCACAAATCATTCCTAAGATGGCACCTGCACCAACTTGCAAAGGTGTGTGGCCCAGAAGCTCCTTCAGCTTCTTCTCGCTCACGGGGTGCCCTTGGAACAAATCCTCCACAATCATATTAAGGACCTGCATACAAGACGTCCATCGCTAGTCAAACACTGTGTAAGCATGTACAGATCATAAATCGGTTTGCGAGCTTGGGCGAGATGTTACAGAAACAGTTAAGAAAACAGACTAGTGCGTGCAACTAAGAATACGGCCTGTTTAAACTCATGTCAACAGTGGAGCAATCCAAGCGATCCAACTAGTGAGCATGATTCATGACGCTTCCTGTATTGCAGCTCAAAGTTATCACGACAGGTGTGCCTCAGTCATGGGAGTTCCCTGTCAACTGTGTAAGGAGTGACTTCCCAAGCAGATGGCGCGTTATGCCAAAGAGGAAATTTGAAGCAACTTACCTCTGCTTGACGTCCAGCATGCCGTCTAACTCCCGCAGCATCGTACATGACAATGAGGGTAAACCCCAGGCATACAGGGAACAAGCTGTCGCCCACTCCATGACACAATGCAACTGCTGTGGTTAAGCCAACACACAGGGCCGAATGAGAGGACGGCATGCCCCCAGAACCCACCAGCATCTTCCAGTCCCATCTCCTCTCCACAAAATACTTAGTGAAAACTTTCAGTACCTGTCATGCATAGAGCACCGCACTAAACCCTCTTGAACCACACGGTAGCAGATAAGTTCCCTGGTCCCATACTTTCAGCCAGGCAACTTGTCATCCTCACTTTAAAAAATAAAATAAAATAAAAAAATCCTACACGGAGAATCTTGTCCACACATTTGCAACTACCGGAAACCAATCCACACACCCACCAGACGGATCGTGTGCAAGATTATGAAGAGTACCCAAAACCTAGAACAAAACTGCGGAGTGAAATTTCTGGAAAAAACACCTGTGCAATTGCCCAGGCAACAAGGCCTGACATGAAGGTAGGATTCGTCCTGAGCGTGATCAAAACTGGACTAATCCTATCTCTGGCAATCATGGATATGCTCAGCAATGCCATTCCCATGCTCCCTTGCATCAGCAACGCTCCCTCGGAAGTTTCCCGCTCCGATTCTTCACATAATGTTTCCAATTCAGCTCTGCAGCGATGTAACCTAGCTCGCCAATAAGACACGATAGCCAGAGCTTGCGCGAGAAATGTCGTGAGGTGGAGCGGGGAATGTGTCGGTGACTTGTCGGCATCTTCTCCAGCAGAACAACTCACGTCCTCATTCGATCTGCCCTCACTAAAACTACTGCAACTATGAGATTGACAGCACTGTTGCCCAGCAACGGATGTCTCCTTCCGAGCATGATGATTCCAGCTAGTTCCACAGATAATTGACCAACCTTGGCGGGAGAGGGCACAGCGCGGGTGCAGATTGGCGTTGTCCAAAGCCGGGACGAAATGCTGAAGAATGGCAAAATGAAAAAATCAGCATTAAAGGGAAAAACAAAAACAAAAACAAAAATGCAGGTATTGCGACGGGAATGGGAAGGAGGAGGAGTACCCGGAAAAGATGGCGAGGGTGGAGGGGAGAGCCAATTGGCAGGTAGAGCGTGGAGGGACCCGCTGTGCGAGAAAGAGCGAGGCACGCCATGGGAAAGTCGACGACGCCGGCGGAGGGAGGGCAAGAGGTTAGGATCTCATTGGGGATGGAGAGATGGAGCAGCTCCAGCCGCCGAAACGAAGGAAGCGAAGTCGCTACTGTCAAGACCCAGACCTGCAACGACGACGAAGAAGAAGTAGAAGAAGAAGATAAGCTATAGCAAAACCAGCAGCAACAACAACAATATCACCGCAGCCAACCTCAGCGCAAGTAACGACGGAAACGCCCCCGTTATCCTGACGAAACAACGAGCAAACGCGGCCCTTCTTCTGCTTCCCGCGATCCAACCCAGAAACGAATAATGAATGGATCGATGCAACAACAACAACAACAACAACAACTCCTGCGCCATTCCGTTTACGGGCGATGGTTGCTTGTTGCAAGGCATCTCTCGTGCTGGGATGAGCACGGGAACGCGGCAACTCCTATCCAAACCCAATTCCCCCCCTCATATGGATGAATGAAAATATGGATGTCTCGGAGTGTTTTGTGGATGGATGTTATATGTGGATGGATGTTATATGTGGATGGATGTTATATGTGGATGGATGTTATATGTGGATGGATGTTATATGTGGATGGATGATGCGTTTATCTGGCCCACCACTCTTCTGTTCGTCGTCGTTCACCAGGTTGGCCCGGCGCAGTGATGTATGTTCTATTTGTAAAATATATCGTTTCAGTAATTAAGTAAAATTTTAACTATTAAAGGAATTACTGTTACCTCCATGCTTGAATTTTTTATTTTTTATTATTTTATTATTTATTATATTTTATTACACTTGTAATATTCTAATATGAATGTGACAACAACAACTATAAATGGAAGTTGAGTAGAAATATTTAAATGGATATTTTTACATGTATGAATGCAGAATAACATGTTTTATATTATTTTGAAAATTCTAACCTTTTTTTATACCATAAAATTATTCAAAATTAAATGTCTATTGTAATGTGATTTTCTTTAAATATATAATTTATAATTATACGATTTTAATTATTTAAGTCAAATTTTATGATATATTAATAATTACAATTAACTATCTTGATAACATCTAAGATATTTGGAATAATTTTTTCTATACATGTTATTTTTCACATTATATGATTTATATTACATTTATATTTTATTTGATATATGTATGAACTAATTATATAAAGAAATATTTTATTTGTGACATTTTTGTAATTTTGAACTAAAACACATGCTATTGCGATAAAATGATATTACATAATGTTATAGTGATGGTTTTGTATTTATAATAATCTAAAATTAATAAACAAAAACAATACCAACACAAGTTAATTCTATTCATAATTAACTTATTGCAATAGTATTACATAAATGATCAATACTAAATTATGTAATAATACTTAGCAAAAATATTATATATGTATATAAATTTGTAACTTTTGGTTATATATTTTTTACTTAAATTATTACCACTAATTATGTTTTGTATATGTAATGAGCTATTAAATTAAAATACTATATAGTAGTAAATAAAACTATGTTCAAATTATCTCTATTATAAAATACATTAGAGGGGGTATAAATCAACAAGATAAATCAAAGAAACATATTGGCCTTTTGATTGGCTAGGTTTTTTAATTATCATTGTTTTCATCAAAACTTAATTTAAATTGCCAATTCATAGGGCCTTAACAAAACCAAAAGCAGTCTCAAGAATCTTGTGGAAGATAGATCTAGACCAATGCTAAATTTGAAGATAGTTACTACTAAATTTTTTTTGATGCAAGATATAAAGAAGAGTGGACATGATATACAATAGCGCTATCAAAATTTGGCATAATAGATTTTGAAGTTGTAAATCAATAATGCTTTCAACATTTTTTTGATGTTATCCATTGTGTGTCTTCTTTTCTTTCTAGCTCAAATTATGGTTTATCATTATAGTTCTAAAGATGATCGCCTCTATAAAGTGGTAGTACATATCAGGTGGAGCTTATCTATGGCAAAGTCATGAGTAGATTAAACATTTGATTCAACACATTAGACAAATGAATGGGTTGGACTTTGTATTTCCTACACTATAGCTACATTGTGTATATCATCAACCAACCAATATGAAGTTGCTTTGCTTGGTTACTTAGTAAATTGTTCTTGCGACTATTCACTACAGCTATTCATTACAATTTGTTGTTGCATGAGCATAGGATATGAGATGCAATAGGATTACTTTCTTTTGCACACAAGAATTTTACATTGCAAAAAGAAGTTGCATAAGAGATGAGAGGGATAGTGAAAAGTCTTGGAATTACTTTTTGTGAGTTGAATGATAGGATATGCTTGGTTGTGAAGTAAAAGTAGAGATGAATTCAATTCTCTAGATCATATGTACATATGAAAAAAGTTTTGTTTTATGGCTAGAGCATGTACTAATTGAGATGGTCTAATTAAATGTATATAGAGGCTCAATTGACACATAGCATGATACTGAATTTAAGTTCCATATTTCCTTTGCTTTACGCAAGGAATTCATCATAAATTCCAAAATCTAAGACAACATTACAGATTCAACTAGTATTTAGATTAATCTTGGAATTATTAAGTAAAACTTATCTTCTACAAAAGGGCTAGCAATGCTAAGTATGCAATCAATTTGATAGTTTGACATTTACAAATATATATATATATATATATATAGATATAGATAACTATCAATCAATAATATAATTATTATTTTTTATGCAAAAAAAAAATAAATTTAATAATATTTTTTGCATAATTTAATCTTTATAATATAATTTATAATGTAAAATAAAATATGAATTAGTTTTTGATATAAAAGGTAATATTGATAGATTCATATTTTGAAATTACTATTTTTGATTATTTCACATTTAAAAAAATATAAATATACATTTTTTATTGTATAATTCAAATGATATTTGTATTATTTTATCCATTAAATCATTTGAATATGGTAATGTTGATTATCAAGCGATTATGATTATTATTATTATTACTATTATTTAATAAAAAACTAGGTAGAAAAAATTATAAATAAAATTATATTTATTAGAAATTAATTGAAATAAACTATTCTACAAATATAGTTTGTTTAACAATATATATATATATATATATATATATATATAGATAACATTATATAAAAATAAAAATAGAAAAATATTTATAAATAGTAATTTATTTATTATGTTGTAAATAGAAAAATTAATTTAAACAAACATGCTATTAAGAAATCTTTAAATACTAATAGATTTTTTTATTATTATTATTAAATAAAGCTTAAAGGGTTTTAGTATTAGTTATCATATAATTTTATATTAAAAAATGAAAAACTAGTTTGTTTACATTAGTTCAATTTTTTTTTCGAAAAATGATTTTTTAAATTTTTACTCTTTCAAATAAAATATTTATTAATTCAGTATAAAAATGTAATTATGAAGTTATAATTTCTATTTAAATATAAAAAGTTTTTATTTTATTTACTATATTATTATTTATAGTATAATATACATATTATTATAGAATATTTATGTTGAAATCAAGTCAAAACATTTATTAAAACTACCTAAATCGTGTACTTTTAAATTATCGTGTCATCTGTCTACACATGATATTTGCGGGCATTGTTTTGACTACAATTTATCAAATGTTATTGTATGAGTTGGCTTTGAATCTTTGTTGCCAATTGTAACTATAAAAATTATATAAAAGAGGTATTGAACGTAAAGAATAAGATCTTTGACTACATCAAGGAATCATATGATCAATCTAATAATTTTCTTTACCTTCTATGGAATTGAATATGGCTAGCATAGTTTGAAGAAGATACACTTCTTCTATGTGACATTAATGACCAAGTTGTCATCATGTAGTTTCATTTACATTTATTTTCTTATCATCATTAGATATGAATATTGGAAACATTTAAAAATACTATTATCATACTTATAATTGTCAATAAAGTTGATACTAGAGTTGTTTTGAAGTAGATTAGATTCCAGTAATAGTCTTACAGAACAGAGTTATTATTTAGATGCTTGAGATAGAATAGATGAATGAAAGCACATTATATATATATATATATATATATTCTAAACATTAATTACTATGATTTGAACTTAAACATATTTGCTACTTATCATAATAAGGTTTTCATCAAGTATTTGAAATGGACAAACATAATTTTTTAATTTTATTCTATTTTTTAAAAATTGCACAAAAACTATAAAAGATATTGATGACATTCATACACACATGCTAAATTTATTGGTTTGATATATCGAATGCATATAGATATTAATTTTATTAATTCCTTATCATTCTGAAACTTAAAATAAATTAGTATCAGAGAAATAGTTATAGTTATAAATATTTCTTTAAATGGATTGAAAAGATAACAGTCCATATACTTAAACTAGGCAAAGCAGGAGTGTTCATAAAAATAACATTATTTTAAATAAATTTAATATTAGCTTTATGCTACTTAAAATATTTTTTAGCTATAAAATAATCAACAGATATTTAAGTAAGTTAAAGCAATTTTAATCAAAATTTCTATGTAGAGTCATTTTTTCTTCTCAATTACTCTTTGAAGTTATTTAATCAATTTTGACATAAATAACAAAACAAAGTAACATGGCCAATTTCTCAATTCTACTTCAAAAAATTGAATATCACGATCACTATCATTTAAAAAATAAAATTTTATTATTATTTTGTACATTATAAATTAAGAATTAAAAACATCATATTTGACGGGAATCTCTCACACAGGAGAGGATTATGGAGATAGGTGGCTCTAGAATGAAGCCGTGCGGGGAAGGGAACCTTTGTGGGAACGCGAAGGGAACACACCAAAATAAAGATAAATGAAACTAATCATCCATCCAACCCCCCCCCGGAAGTGAACCTTAGTAGGAACGTGAAGGGAACTTAATGAAAAGAGGATGAATAAACTTACGCATCCATCCAAACCCCATAGAAGGGCCGCGGCTGCGGCACCAGCTTGGTGGCGCAATGGCTTCGCGGCCGTCCGGGCGGCTGCTGCTACTGCTGGCTTCTTCTTCTTCATCTGTGTCGTCGTCGTCGATTCAGTCGTGTTTTTGGTGGTGTTCGACCTGGTCATAATTCAGGGCTCCATGCTGAGCTTAATCATGGGACCCCTTCCTCCTGCTTCTGTGCTTTGTTGCTTAGTGTTGCTGATTTTCTAGCGCCGTCGCAGGGTCCGTTTTGCCATTGTCCTTACCTCATGAGCTCTCGTTATTTCCCTCGTGGGTCTTGGTAGCCTTGGTAGCTCAGCCCCCCCTCTGTGCCCAGTTGCGTTAATCTGTCTCCTCCTGTGGATTCCTCCAGGTAGGGCGATCCTATGGATTCATCGCTCCTCCTGGGCGCAGCAGGAGCGCCCGTGCTGGAACAAGTGTTGCATCCTTGCCCTTCCCTCGTTCACCAGGCGCTACGGTTGCGTTCTTTTGTGCCAGGTGAGTTCGCCGACGAAGACGGCGACACTGCTACCCAATTCATCCTCGCGGACAAGCCTCCCCACTCTTTCTCTCCCTTTGCTTCGCGTCCCGAACCCGTCCTTCCCGTGCCCTTGCCGGATTGGGAATCCAATTTTGTCGTTCTTTCCGACGATGACGATGACGATGACTATCCCTCTTTCGTTTGTGACCTTTGTCACCAGAGCGCCCCCTTAAATTCGGTCTTCCTGCTTACTTGCCCCTGCTTGTTCTGTGTCCCCTGCTTGCGAGCGCACGCTGAGTCTGTGCTCGTGAAGAAAGCAACTCAAATTGGTCTCAAAAAGGATCCTCTCAATGACGGTGCGTCGACGGAAAAGGTAGCAGGGTCGAGCAAGGGATCGATCACAATCGACGATTCAGCTGGACAACCGTTGGAATCCATTCCATGCCCAAAGCCGGAGTGCATTGGGCAGTTTTCTTTCTCATCAGCACAGCAGCTGGCACCCGAAGCTTTCAGGTCTTAATTTCTTACATTTTGAATGCTGTCTTACCCTGCCACTCCTTTCCATCTGGTTCTTGAATCATTTCGTAATTGATTCGGCGCTCATCACCTGTTGAATTGGTCCTTAAAATTCTTTCAACTTCTAGGGCCTCATACTATGCTCTACTTTAGGTTTTAAATTTCTACCTTGCTTTGGTTCTGTATGGAGTGTGTAATCGCACCTGAAACATTTGCCCTTAAGTGTCTGTTTATTTTTCCGTCTTGCAATGCGGGTGGTAGCGTTGTACTATGTGCTGTTCAGAAAATTTGGCACATACCATTCAGATTCTATTTCATCATCGATTGTCAAGTCTTTGGGTTCCCCAAAATCATAAGCCCTAGAGGTAGTGACCTCATATGCACTTTCGCACTCTTTTTCGGTGTTTGTAATTGTTAGGTGAAGTTCGTGTAATCTAAACGTTTCAGCATCGCCTTCTGATGGACTTGGCTCGTCCAATTTTTGTAGCTTAGATCCATGTGGCCAATCTTCTGTTTCCGCGAGTGTCGCTTAGTCAATGGTTTAGTAAGAGCTCTTTTATGATGATTATTTTAATGAGTTAATGAGTTAATGAATCCAAATCAACAGTTCTCGCTATTACGTTACCATGTACACACTTTGATGTACGCAGTCCTTTAGCCTCTCCTTTAGCATTCTTTGAATGTTTAGAAATTTTCACAAGGAGTCCAAACCATATTACGAGTGTTTTTTTTCACGAATTTGTTCACGTGGTAGAATTAATTTGTAAACCTCAGAGGTGTTGGATTTGGAATGCGAGTATCCTCTGAAATCTTATATATATGTTTTGTTCTGCACTTGCAATACTTTTGAGGATACTAACAAGCTACGCTTTTGACTTGGCTTTCCCGCAGAATGTGGGAGGACGCGGCAATTGATGCCTTTTTCATGGAAAACGCTGCATTCGTGAAATGCCCTGGGTGCAAAGTTGTGTTTGAGAAAGTGATGGGAGTTCTTCCACCTGGAGTGGCACTCACAGGAGTACCAGAGCTGGACAGGACAGCACCCTTTATTGAACTCGATAACGAAGGTCGGCGATTATCAAGGTCAGCCATGTGCCATAAGTCCACAAATCGATTTCGTTGTAGTATGTGCACAACTGATTTTTGCGGGGCTTGCATGGAGTTCCCCTATCACTTGGGAAGGAGCTGTGAGGAGGTAGCAGAAGAAAAAGTCGCAGCCAAGTGCTTGTTTTGCGAAGCCTCATTGCGAGGTACTCGAAGTTGGTATGATGAGAAGGATTTGAATCTTAGGTATGTGCATTGTAGTCTGTCTCGTACATAAGAAACGGAGGGACGTCTCTTCTGAATTATATGTTCGTTTTTTCTTTGGTTGGGTCTCTTCTGGAATCGAAGAGACCGAGCTCACATTTGCGTTCAAGACTTGATGCTCTTTTTAGTTTCCTGATTATTAGATATGCATGTATGTATGCATGTCTATATGCATGGAATGGTCTGTTGGATATATCTAATTAGTGACTTGACCTGCCTCTTGAAGGTCTGTGAAGGAACTTCAGAGTCAACTGGAAAGGGAGGATGTTGATGCCGCTTGGTGTGTTGAGAAAGGGGACCTTGTGGCTGTGCATCGATTTGTGGCCGGTATTTGTGAAGCCAAAGATTGTCGCAAACGTGCACGCTTTTCATGCACTAGAACTTTGGAATGTGGTCATCATTGTGGTGGTGTGCGAGGTGAACGAATTTGTCTTCCTTGTTTAGAGGTACCCAGGATTTTTTTTGTTTTTGTTTTTGGTTTTTGATTTTGTTTTTTGTTTTCTCGAGTGAGGAAATTTAAGAATAGAATGGTGAATTTAAGTAGGAAATACATGAGATTATAGAGCTTGACTCCTCATGAGTTGCTATACTCTCAGTGTTGGTTAAGCTGAGGTGTGAAATATCAGCCTGTTGTGTTCAAAATCTTCTCCTACTCTCGTGCTCGTTTATTCCGATATTTTTAGTTTGACATGATTATTAGCATCACAACTCCGGTAAATGTTTTTGAATCAATTGTAACTATCAATTTTTTAAGTTTTGAAGTTTCAATTGGTTTTTTTGTGTTTATTGTTTTGTTGGATTTGCATCTAAACTAGCAATTGATCAAGTGTAACTTTTTGACAAAAACCGAGCTTTTATGTCATGTACGCACTTGCACCTGCTGAAACAGCTGATTCCGGTCTTGAAAGGCACCGAAAAGAATTACTTTTGCTGCCACTGAGTATTCGATCTTTTTATGCAGGAGAAATGCAAAAGCGCATCTAAACATTTGGGAAGGAAATTCTTGCCTGCTGCGACTGATTTGTGTGGCATATGCCTCACTGAGCCTCTTCAACGTGCACCCGCAATACGATTACAATGTGGGCATGTAGTGCATTTGCATTGCGCAAAACAGAAGCTTCTGCAGGGTTATCCGGGTCCAGCAATAAGCTTTGGCTACTTAAACTGTCCCCAGTGTCCAAGACTCATGCAACACGCGAGCTTGGATGCAGATACGCGCAAGCATCTGGAGTTGCTGAGGCTGGTACTGTTCCTTTCACGTGCGATCTATAAATCAATGTCATCGTGGAAGCATATATTCATTTTTCACTAGATCTTAAATGGACTAACAAGTCTTGTCATCTGTATAGGTGAGAGAGAAGGCCATGAAGAGGTTGACTATGGAAGGTTTATTGAAGACTGCTGAAGAGCTCCAACCAGGTGGCAACTTTGTAGGAAGACCATCTGAGTATGCTCTGTACATATATCAATACTACATGTGCTCCAAGTGCCGTGTTCCTTACTGTGGTGGCAAGCGTGATTGCTTAAGAATTGAAAGGTTGAGATTCATGTACCCTTAATTATCTCGCAACCTTGTATCTTGCAATGACACTCAAGTGTTGGTTATCTTAGATGACTTATCAAGCTGCATCTTGTGGCATATTGGACTTTCTTGTAAGGATGTTTCATGCACACAATTTTCCAATGCAAATGTTAGTTTTAATTCTGCTGTGGAAAATCATATGAATTTTGATCGTACAGATGATGAAGATGTTTGGTTTAGTAAAGGAATTTTTCAGTATGTCAGCATTTAATTATTTGTTACACATGAAGCTTCTTCCTTGTTTCATTCTGATATGTGAGTTGGGAATATGTGATCTGCAACCAGAGACGGGGAGAACGGAGCACATAACCCATTGGATTTGATTTGCGGCGGCTGCTCAGCTGCTGCATGTGGGCATGGTGTGTGCGCTAAAGGACACGGGAAGGAGTACATAGAGTTTAAATGCGCGTACTGTTGCTCTCCTGCCACATACTTTTGCTTTGGACAGACTCATTTTTGTGACAATTGTCATAACTCGAGGCCGGATATGGTTAGAAATCTTGCATTATCACAGTGCCGGGGGCCTGAATGGTGTCCTCTTCGGGTACCCCACTTACCGAATGGGCAAGAATGTTGCCTGGGGTGTTCTATGTGCCGATTCACTGGTCAATGACACATGTTTGTAACTAGACGTCCTTTGTACTCTTAGAACAAAACGCACTCATTATAGTCCAGAGATGGGGGGTTTGATAATTTTGTTTCTATAGTTCGATATCATAGCATCAGTTGGAAAAAGAGGCACCGTGTACAATTATGTGTTTCGCTCATGTCCAAATCTAGGCTTTTATCAACACAACGATGATTCTAGGGAGCTTATCTTACTTGGTCTGAATCGTGTTATGCGCATTTTGGTTTTTACAGCTACATGGTCTAGATTCCACAAGCCTGAATTTTGCACCCAAGTTTCAATTGTTACTTCAAAATATGTGTGTGACCTACTGATGGCATTGAAGCTTTCGTTGCCATTTATCACTCGTACCAGGTCCTGCTGTTCTAACCACGACTGAAGAAATCAGCAACGTATCCGTCACCAGTAAGCTACATGGAATATCGGAGTTGATATCTGTGTGCTTAATTTTCACCAGCTCTTCACTGCCGTCGTGCCTCAGGTGGTTTGTGGTATCATCGTTTGTCGCCCAAGACGAGGCTGCTGCTGTGCGAGTGTTGTTAAACAATGTCGTGGCATTCACTCGTGGGAGTATAACTTATCACATTTGGTCTGCCGCTGATTCGAATGATCGAGAGTAGAGGAAGTGCATATGCAGTTAAGAAAGTTATTAAACTAATGGGACCCGCATGATTTTACCAATTTTGCCAAGTTTAGTTGTTTGCTACTCAAAAAACTTCTAGAGCGGTGACAATATGATGTGGATGTGAGTCTTGGTGAATGCCGTAGTTCATAGTATATGCAGTTATAAGTGTAGTATTTCTCTTTATCTGAGAGTTTCACATGCGTTGTGAATTTAACGAGTCCTCTACCCAGACAATGCTGCGAGATCATGTTGTACCGATCATTGCGACACAGCGTTTGAGCTTTTGCAGTTTGGCCCAAGTGAATCAAATGTGGCACATGACCAGATCCAGGAATGACAACAGTATGGATTAACTGGTACCATTGTCAGATATGTTCAATTGGCTGTCTGTGAGTCCAATAGTTCGAAAACCCATTCAGAAGATAGATCCCAAGCAAGCTATGACCAATGATCAAATGTGAAATTCCTCAACGACATCCAGGTCTACCGACACTGACAGAATGGTGTCGGTGATGCTCATTCCCTGCTACTCCAGAAGTTCTACAAAGAACGACATCACGTGCACCGATTTTATGACCCACTAGTGCAGAATTGGATTAGCCTCCAGAACAAGAAAAAGTGAAACCCCAATGCTTAAAAACAATTAGATTAACATCAATTATAGGAACATTTCGGGATGAATTCATGGTAATGAGAATGTTTCAATAATGAACACATTTGGATCTGTTATAACAAAAGATTTGAAGTTTGGATACGCGTATGACCACAAGAAATCCATTGTTACAGTTAGTCTATTTTTCTGTGGTAAGATATCAGATGCTGTTTTAAATGTGACAATATTAATCCATTTAATTTTTATTTTTATAGAACAATTTACTTGTGATTTCTTTCTGGCATAAATATGGTGGAAAATGATGAGAGTATGATGACATTTGAATATCTTTCTAGAGTATTAATGATCAAGCACTACCTGTGATGATGATTACAATTTTGTGTGTATTTACATGTGTTTGAGTGTGCGTGTATACATACATACATACGTCAGTGTGTAATCATGCTATAATTTATAGATTTTAGTATATATCACAAACTTTAGGATATAAGAAACAAATAGATGTGAATGATGAAGTATTAGTGAGATTGGAGGACGTAGAATTTGCTTTTAAAATGATAATCACCGTCAATGAAATTTTTGTGGAAAGAAACTAAAAGTTGTTTATTAAACCACATTACAGTATTTATTTATCTATTTAATTTGCTGGAAGAGTATTGACTATCCATGAGTATTTATGGCAGAAGTACATTGGTATTTTTCATACTTTACTGATTTCAAACCAAAGCATAATCTAGAAGCTATTTGCACACATGTTGAGTATTGAATTTATGCAATTCAGAACATTATTTATTATTATTTATTGCACTCTGTTTTATCCCTCAGATTCTCTTCATGTATATCTACAATTTATCTAATTATAGACACACTCTTTTTCACGATGGAAACAACACAATTCTAGGTGATCAACATTTGCTTAAGATATGTAATGTTGATTATCGAATTAAAAAAACACAAAAAACCTAAAAGTGTCACAAAGCAACTTCACCAGTACCCACTATCCAGAGAAAGGTGCATTGAATCTCCAACCACGACCTGCCATTACAAAAAAGTGTTACGTCTGTGATGTCCATTGCACTGACGATTCATGTCGATGCTCCAAGGACTTGATTACATCACGCTCAGCTCATCAATGAAGGATGATCTCAGGCAAAATTGCGTTCCGCTATTCGTGACAGCTAATGTTGACATTCTGTTTCGCAATAAAATGGCCTCCAAGAAAAACCAACTGCGAGACCTCGTGCAACCCTCAACTGGGGATAAAACCAATGTATGAATGTACATCCATCATGAACGGCATTCATGCTTGCAGAAACCAGCCGTTCTTTCTTGTTCAAAATACATTCTTGCCGGAATCCGCATCTCTGTCAAATTTTGCTGGTTGAAGCTTGTAGAATATCACTTCACTCCTTTTCAGCAAGTTCCGCCTTAACTCTGGCGAAGTACGTATCATCGGGCAATATTGTGATTCCTCGGATGAGTATAAGAATGATGCTTTAAATTCAACGTGAGAATACAGCAGAAAAACTTGTTCAGACAAACACAAATAAACCGAAAACCAAAATAAAGGGGTGTGATACATAACCAAAGTTCGTAGGTCCTCCCCATGTTCTGGTCTTGTGGTGGATTCCTGCCCATCTGCGTTCAAATCAATAAAACAACGATTGTCAACTTGACGAACTCCGCTACAAAATTGTGTAAAATTTAAAATAATATTCAAATTGAAAAAAAACTCCGGTTTCGTGGTTTGGTATGTCCGAAAACTTCTTGATGCACTAAAGATATCTGCCAATACCAAATTCTAAACAGGCATCATACCCCGACACATATTGTATCACTCTTTAACGTTGGGGTTTAAGCTCCCTCCAGACAACATCATAATCTGATTGTTAATGCACTAGAAACTAGAATAAAAGTATAAAAACTTACGTGACTACATTCCTTCGTCCTGTGGTGATGGAGGTTCCTACGCTGAACAGCAACCTGCGATCCCAGGCTATCTTTAAAAGGCTCAATACATCTTCACCTTCTTTGGTACAAAGCAGGTATGCAACTCGACTAGAGCCCGAGTATGGCTGTCCCGGATTTGGATGCTCGGAACCCTGTGTAAGTAAACAACTTAGAATTCGAAATTGTCAAATCACAGATCCCAACATCATCACTCTGAACCAGACTAATGCATCATGAGCCCCAGTAATGCTCACTTGATGAGCACATGAAAAGCAATCATGCAGCCAGCAAAGCCAATAAAACTAGGTAACCAGTAACTCACTTGTGTTCCGTTTGGGAAGTCATTGAAATTTTCATGATGTCGATGCCAGGATAACCGTGAATTCCATTTCAGAGTCCAGAACTACCAGCAGAAATAATGCGCACGGTCATTGTTCCTTACTGTTGAGTTCCGGTCCTAAGTGCATACGCCATGGTGCATACTGGGCAGGTGGGACGAGTCTTAAACCAAAGCGTGACACAATTCTTACAGAATTAGTGTCTGCACTTAGCTAGCATTACTGCATTCTTCCTCCGTAAACTAATCACGCAAATTGGGCAGTTATTGTCATCTGAGTTCTCAGCGTAGGGTTGTAAATCTGCCACATTGTAACCAAGTGAAGCCGCCCCAGCCGCAACTGATGGGGCAGGTACACTCACCACTGGTTTAGGGGAAGAGCCATGCCGAGCACTAGATGAAGCAGCCACCACAACCGGGGCTGCTGATGCTCCTGTTGAAACCAGCCGTCCTCGAACATTACGATAATATTTTGTGGTCAAACATGTCTGGAATCCATCGGCCGCGAACTGGATGATGTACGTGCGACGGTGTATGTATGCAAAATTTACCCATATTCATTACCCAACTCAAGGCTTCAGCAATTTGCAGTAAAACCAATGCGCAAGAAACATAATGCAGAAGAAAGACACTCGTAAGGATCGTAATCTTACGCTAGCATTTCCTTCCAGAATTGGGAGGACCGTCTAATAATCAAATCACTGTGATGATAATTATGACGACAACGAACATGACAACAACAAACCATAAATTACACACATGCACTCACACAGTCCAAATTAGGAAACAAGTTAACAAATGCTTATTCGATGTCGCTGGAGAGAGCGGGGTTGTAAGGCTCCCAAAGCATGGCGTCTGTCAGCCATTCCCAGACGAAAGCCATGCGGCCTCATGCAATTTTCGCGAAGGAGAATCCAAATCCTGCAGGAGCAACTGGGTGAAGAAGAGCGATATTGCGATACTGGCGGAGAGGGGCCGCATACTGTATGAGCATCAATCTATCTGTCTATGAGGAGGAAGAAAGAGCAGGAAGAGTAGGGACGAAGCAACAATCAAGCAGTCATGGAAATGGAAATCAATGCAAAACAAGCAAAGAAATGTAGGAATGTGAATTGTTGACTGTTGGGAGTTTTTTTTTGTTTGTTTTGTTTTTGTGATTGTTTTAGAAAATGTTTTGGTTTATGGAAAACGTGTCTTTATTTATTTCTTATTTATTTTTTTGTAGTTCGCTTCTTGCCCAAATTGGCCGTTTCTTGGATTGGTTTCCTTTCACTAATTTTTGTTTGATAGAATTCTAATAGTCGGGTCAACAAGAGGACTATGAACTCTAATTTCAAAAAAATATACAATCAAATAATCATGGTTGCCCTCAATATGTTAACAATCAATGCATTAGAGTACCATTGGCCTCATGAATGAATGTATATGCATATATATATATATATATATAAGGAGTTCTGAAAGCTTCACCCTCCTTGCCATCTCATAATTGACTCCATCTATCTTTGTTCTCAATTCTATATCCTTGTTCTCCTTCCATGTTTCTTCTCCCTCATTCCTTGTACTTTGGTATTTCTTTCAGGTAATTAATATAAATTAGTACACTCTATTTCCAATTCTTTAAAGTTCTTTGCATATAATGTATTGAAGAATTCCATTTTCACATTTCGACTTGGGATATTATGACTCTTTAGCTTGCACTACAAATGCATCTTATATCTCCTCCAAATTAATCAAGAATTTCACCTAAGTTTTCAATAGAGATCAAGTGTGGTAGCAATTGCAATGGTGGTCAACTAAAGGAGCTTGAAAAGTCTTGACAAATACTTCTCCTTACTCCATATTCTAGAAGATGAAAGAATGGCTTAATAATATTGAAGCCATTGTCCTTTGCCAAAAACTATTACTAATTTTTAAGACTCACAACAATATTATGTATATCTACATAAGACCAATCGTCATTTCCATTTGCGTGCCACCAAAAATTGGTAACAAGACTCACAATCCTCGACAGCTAGTTTATCATATAATACTGAGCAATCCTTCATGGAATCTCTTCAGAGGATCATCTTGCCAAGAAACTAACCTCCACTCTTCATTAATCTACATAACATGCACCAAAAGTATCTAAGTAAGTCGAGTAGTACCTAAGCATCCCCTTACAAATATTGGTATTAGACTCTAAGAAGGCAATGAACAATTAGCATAAGGAATGAAGGATAAGAAGAAAGTTAAGGGAATTTGAAATAGGGGATAAGAAATGAAGGAGAATAAAGGAAATATGGAACAAAGGAGAAGAATAAGGACATGAGACTAGGAATATAGGACAAAGATGGGAGATAGACAAAATTAAGCATAAGATAGCAAGGAAGTGTATCACTTTAATAACTTCCTATATATATATATATATATATATATATATATATTACTTTCAAATAAACAATGTTGTGTTTTAATACAACCATATGGTGAAAATGTCAATAAAAATGATATTATGATTTGTATTCTATCAACTTGGTTCAATAATAAATTTAAACATTTAAGCAAGGCTTTAATAAAAGCCTCTTAGTTAATTTTTTTTGTTTAAATAGCTAGTAGATTAAAAATTGATTAGCAAATTTACCTTTTAGATTATAAAAAACTCTTCTAGTACCTTAGAAAGGCCATAAATTGATAAAAATGAAGTAAATTAAATAAATATTTAATATAATCAACTCTAAGATGAAATTAAGGATAGGATTGTATTAGAAAATTCTTAGAAAAGGTTAGATTGATACCTAAGAGACAACCATTTGTGGGTTGGGGTTGAAATCAAACCTCCACCCACTAAAATAGTTGCTTATGACAAAGTATGAGAGATTTTGAAGATTGGAGAGTTAGGTTGAAGAGCTAGCTTTAAGCTTGTTCCAAAGTAGCAAAGCTTGTTATCATAGGTTTTGAGATGACTTCGCAATTGTTGTGCAAAATCAAGTTTTGTATTGCTAACTTTATATTTATGCAATAAAATTAAAGCTAGGACTACCAACTAATTTGTGAGATATGTATGACATTTAGAATTTAAATTTCATGAATGTGTAGTTGAATGGATGTACTAATTGTGTGTGAAATTTTATGTTATTCTAATGATATAATTGAGACATATTCAATTATTAGCGCAAAGAGGTACAAATAGTTGACAATTTAGGATTGGATAGGACTTTGGCAATATCTAAAGTTCTACTTATTGGAACAAGGAGAAATTTGGCATGGTTTTAGAAGACTAATATTTCAAGCTATACACCAATTTGGAGCTAAAGTTAACAATTGGAGATGGAGAGATTGTTGCTTGAACTTCATCATCAACCTTCAAGTAGGAGGATAAGGGATACCAATGTAGTTCTGCATTTTTCTCATAATTTGTAAGTTGGATTGGGCTGAAATTTTTTGAGCATATAGAAGATGTATTGTTTTACTAATATGAAATTTTTTGTACCAACTAGACAATTAGATCAAGAATTACAGCTAGTTGAAGCTTGTTGCCTAGGATGAGGATTTGGAGAGAAAATTTGAAGTTGCAAAAAAAGGCAAATAATAAGACAATGAGGATTTGTATTTGCTTGTCAAGGACAAGAACTCGATGAAAGCTAAAGAGTAAGTGAGACTTTTCTCAAAAAGAAATAGGACAAAATAGAAATATGTATATTAAGAAAGAAACTGGAATGGCTATTGCCAAAATACAAGAAAACTAGAGACCCTTGAAACTAGACTAGAAGCAAGAAAGGAGTTGACAAGAGTGAAGAGGGCTTCACTCTTGCCTCTATATATACTATCTAACTAGAAGCCACGTGGCGATGTTCTATAAGACCTCCAGTATATGTTGACTTTCTAGGCCACATGCCTTTGCTTGCAAGGCAAGTTTTCTATGGATGGACCACGTAGTTAGCTTGTTCTTTAAGCTTCCAACATGCGTGGCACATGGCTAACTTGTTGACCAAGTTTCTAACCTAAAAGTCAACTATAGACTCCTATAAAGTCAAAGCAGCGTCTATGAAGCTTCTAAGAAGCTTTTCTAGAAGATATTACACAATTAACCTACTTTTACATACTTTTATCTATTCATATAGGTAATTATATGTATGTCCGTGACATTACCCCCCCTTCTAGGAACGAGTTCCACGAGGAGCGGTGATTATATATTGAGAAAATCTAATATGCGGCGAATTGTATTTGCTACATACTCTGATCTTTGTTCTCTTCGAAGATAGTTGATGGGTCCTCTTAGCCATCGATAGTGTCCCATTCCAGGGCGAGAAGACCACCCTGTTATTTGATCACTGTTGAGGCCTTCATAACTTCCTTCAAATAATACATTTGAAACACCATCAGGAGTCGTTCCTATCTCCAATAATATCACCAAACATCGAGAATCTCTTCCAAGGTCGTGATACCAAACGCGTTGTATCTCACCATCTATTCGAGGAAGAACATGTCGTTCTTGAGGGTCTTCATCTCGGTTGCGTCGTCTTGAAGGTTGTGACAATCGCAATGTCTCATCCGGTAAGTCAGCAAACGAAGGTTCTTGAGTTGAATCCGCTGGTTGTTGGCTCTCCATCTAATTAGCGTCACAAAATGCAAAGAAGTTACAAACAAGGATAGGAAATTGAATGTTATCTTGCGTCAATCTTGTCTCTTTTATAAGAGAGGTTTTCATCTTGGTTTTGATGGATGTCGTTGATGAAAAACTTTGACTTTAGCTGATGCATTTGCTAGATTCCTGGATGGCTCCCATGTGCGCTCACTAATATCATATCCGCACCAATGAACAAGATATTCCAGCTTATTTCGGCGCCGCCTTGAGTCTAATATCTCTTCCACCTCAAATTCTTCATTATTATCTACTTCTATAGGAGGCGGTGGCATTTGTCTTCTTCCTTGTATATCCACTGTCTTATATGGTTCAAGAAGAGACACGTGGAATACAGGATGGATCTTCATTGACTCCGGTAGATGTAACCGATATGCAACTGGGTTGATCTGTTCAGAAATAGAAAAGGGGCCAAGCCTACGATAGTCCAATTTGTCACAAGGTCGAGTGGTCTTGATATTGCGACGAAGTAGCCATACCTTATCACCCACGTTGAATTGTGGTTGCTCTTTACGATATACATCTGCATTTATCTTTTGTCGTTCTTGAGCTTTCTTCAACTGCGCCTTCATTATTGCATGTAACTCTGACAACCGATTTGCCATATCTTCTGCTGCAGGATTATCAACTTTTGAAAAATCAAAAGTATCAAGTCGTGGATGATAGCCATAATTGGCAAAGAAAGGTGTTTGTTGCGTGGAGGAATGTACCGTATTA